GGGGGCCAAATCTGGTCCTTGTTAACATCTTATCAGCTTCTGTAGATGTGTTGACCCACATGCACCAGGACATGGACACAGAGCAGTTTCATGGAGGCGCTGAGATGTGAACGATATTTGCAGCATCTTCATTACTGAGCAGTGAACCAATGAAAGTAATGTGAAATTAACTGCCTGGTGTTCTCCAAAGGAGCCCTGATGTCAGCAAAGGCACAACCAATGTGTCTTGGGGGGGGGGGGGGGATTTTCAATTTTTAGGATTTAGAATCTAATTTTCAGCTAATTTTTTTAAATTTCCTGGAATAATATTTTGAAATGGTAAATTCTTTCTGTGTTTTTATTATTATTATTATTATTATTATTATTATTATTATTATTTGCCTCAGCCATTTTGTTTGTTATTGTCTCTCTCAGTATAGATCTACTTTTCTTCCTGTCCACAAAACAATAATAAATAACTTGTCAGTGTCTGTGCTGTCTCAAGTCTCTATTCTGCAACAGACTTTGTACCTGGAAGTTTCTTGTTCTTAAACCCAGCGTCCTTCCAGATAAGGAAGTCAAAGGAAATCGGTTATTTTAGAAAATGGGTGGATCTACAATTCTTAGTGACTGGAACCAGATTAAGCTGCAGTCACGTTCTCCAGGCCTCATGCTGGTGGTGCACAAGTTAACATACTGAAGGACTGTTCTGGCAGTTCTGCGAAGTGCATCTCATTCTGCTCAAGGATGAGGTCAAATGAACACAATGATCCAGAGTTCACTGTTTTCTGACATGATGCTGAGTATCTTGTGGCTTTCGTCAGCCAATTACATTTAGACTTTAATTCTGATTACCATAGTTATAATTATTATAGAACAAAAATGCCAATTTAATCAAAGAGGATGAGTTGCTGATGTGGAGAAAATAGCAGAAGTTTTAAATACATTTGGTTCTTATTGTAACAATTGCAGCTATACCCAGATACAAGGACCAAGGAGAACAGATACCAAGACTCAAAATGTATTTTCAGTGTTTGTTTACAACGTGATGAATCATTCAATGAGCCAGGGAGGGAGCTGGAACCAGTAGGAGTCAGTAGTGGGGAGAGCTGACCCAAATGGTTCCAGGTGAAGAAGGTGTTCGTCTGAACAATGGCAGGAAACAGGCAAGTGTTAGGAAGGAGAGGGGGCAGCTGAGGAGGCGCAGGAGAGCTCAGTTTCCACAGAGGATAATCCAGGGGACAGGAGGACATCAGGGATTATTTCCTGGAAGCACGGAAAAATACCAAGTAGTTCATATTCAGTTTAACTCACAAGTAAAAAATTAGAACAGAACTACCATTGGCAGGTAGTGCTCCAGCACCGACTGGATGTCCTCTGCAGCTTCTTGTGCTTATCTTGCTCATCGAGCTGATGATCCTCAGTTGCTGCTGATTAGAGTTAGCTGTGGCTGCATGAAGCTGACAGAACAGAACTCACACACCTATGTTGGTGATAATATCAAAGGCTTTGGGATTTTTTGCTATTTAAGATTAAATCAGTAAATCCTTTTTGCATGTAAATGAAAGTTTTGTGAACATTTTAGCAAGTCCAGTACTCGGGTCTTATAATTAATACTTTATTATTTCTCCTAGACCTGTTTAATGTTTGAAAGGAGTAACAAATGGCACCAACCACTTGTCTATACAGAGAGCTTCAATGCTTCTTGATGAAGCATTCTCCAGCTCCCTTTGCCTACACAGTCCTGTTGATGAAAGCTTGCAGAGCTGCTCTGTGATGCTGAGTAATTATGTGTTGTCACAGAGAAGATTATCAATGGGTGTGTGCTGCAGAGAGGGATATAGTAGCTAATGTGGATCCTTTAGTGATAAACAAAGGACTTGAGCAAATATCTTTTCTCTAAAGCGTCAGTAATCTTTTTCTCTCATCTCCCCCTTTATTTTCTGTTTCTCTTTGTGTTTCCTGCCGCAGTAAATACAATGTAACCTTGTCACCAGCGTCCTCCTCACATCAGCATCAGTTTGTGGAAAATGCAGCTGGGGTGAATAGAAAGCAGAATGTGCACACTCTGGTTAATCTTTCTCATCTTTCATATCCATACTGTTATTAATTTGCCTGCGTGCTTCGTGATATTGATCAGTTAATATTTCTTGTTTTCACTGAGAGAAAAACAATGTTTGTTTTTCATATGTGAGTTAATAATTTAAACTTGTCATTTTATACATTTGCTGCAGATGAACTGTATATGGCTTCTTCCTCCTCTCCAGCTAACAATGGACTTAATCTGAGGAAATATGAATTGTGTGTGTGGGGGGGGGGGGGGGGGTAATATTGATTACAACAAACAGTGAGAAATATCCACAAAGGGAATCTTTAACTGTTAATATGCACAGATTTTTAGAATTAAGTCTATAAATTGTAATTGTGAGAGAGTTTATGAAGCATTCACACTATTGTGATCCATTTTTCTTCTGTATATTTTTGGCATGATTCTCGTCCTGCAGTTTTTGTGCTATTTCAACAAATCATATCAAAATGTTCAGCTCTTTCAGGACAATCCTGCTGTGACTTTTGCTATTGGTGCAACTTTAGCTTTTTGAAATATTTCACCTTTCTATCATTTTTTTTCTCATAGAAAATTAATTGAGCTCATTTTACATCCTTCAGATCTTTAGATCTGTTTACAAACGCACTGCTCCTTTCATGTTTTGTTGTGGTTCAGCTTCTTTCAGCTTCCATGTGCAAACATTTTTTCAGCTACTTTCAGCTGGTCTTTTTTCCAAATATTTTGTGCTCCCTTCGGATTCTTTCTGCTAACTACAACATTTGTGTGCTTCTTCCAACTTCTTTCTGCTAATTTCAGCTTGTTATGCTCCTTTCACCTTATTTCCGCATTTCAGCTATTTTGACTATTTCTGCTACTATTTAGCTGTTTTGATGTTAATTTAAGCTTTTTCCACTAATTCCACATTTTTTGCTGTCATTTCAATTTTTTTCAGCCTAATTCAGCATAATTTGTGCTCCTCACTTCCTTCTTGTAATTTCAGCTTCTTTATTTCTTTTTTTGTGCTAATTTCAGCTTTTTTCCCAGAAAATTTCCACTTTTTATGCTCAATTCTGCTTCTTTCAGCAAACATGTTCTTTCTGCCTTCTTCTGCTAATTTAAGCTTGTTCTACCTTTTTCAGTTACTTTTTTTTAGTATTTTTACCTCATTTCAGCTGTTTTCACATAAATTCAAAGTTTTTGTGTAATTTCTGCTACTTGCAGCCAAGTTAACTTTGTTCTGCTACTTTCAGCTTGTTGTGCTTCTTTCAGCTTTTTTCTGATAGTTTCAGCTTTTTCTGCTACTCTTTAGCTGTGTTATTCTAAATTTAGCTTTTTCAGTTAATTCTGCATTTTTTGTGCTCATTTATGCTTCTTATACTTACTTTTGGTAGTTTAAGCATCTTTCTGCCTTTTCAGCTACTTTTCAGCTATTTTTTGCTTAAGTCAGCGTTTTGTTGCCAATTTTCTAATTTTTGTGCTCATGTATGCTTATTTAAACATAATTCAGCAAATATGTATTCTTTCTGCTTTCTTCTGCTAATTTAGGCTTGTTCTTCCATTTCAGCTACATTTCAGCATGTTTTTAACTAATTTCAGCAGTTTTTCAGCAGTTCTTCAGCAATAAGCATCCACACTGCTTTTTGCAGGAAATGCTATTTCTCTAGTTAAAATTGATAAAACCCCTGTAAACTTGCAGAATTTACGTGCTACAATTTGTTTTAGGTACATTGTTTTGTAATATTAATGAGGTTTTGGATATTTACCAACTTTGGAAGGGAAACCAGTGTGTCTTCTCTTAACTTATTTAATATTTGTTAGTTGCAAAGTAAAGCTATGGGGATTTTTTTATGCTTTAAAGTGAAAAATTATTCAAATTGTTTTCACATCGTAAGATTAGTTGTTTTCTATAAATCTCAAGTTGAAATATTCTCTAATAGTTGGCTTTTCATTTGTGTTCTAATTCTCTTAAAGTTATAAAGTCAAAATATTTCTGCACAGTTAAATGCTTCAGCTTATCTTGTGCACAGATCTGGTGGTTTTCTTCTGCTACTTTAGTTACATAAAGTTTTGTAGATGTGTGGTTGATAGAAACAAGAGAGATCCTAGTCCAGATGACGTACCAAGCTGTGCATCAGCCAACACGTGAACCGCAGCACATCGTTAATCACACAAAGTCTCTCCTCAGCATCCCCATCCTGTAATTTGTAGAAGCGTTAACGGTGTGAGCTGTCCTGTTTTATGAGGCTTCCACTCGTACTTACGCAGAGATAAATCACTTCAGCACCTCGTCTATGGCTGTTCTTTGTTGCTGGTTGGGTCTGACCTGCAGGGAGGTGGGAGAACATAATGTGGGGCAGGAGATGGAACAGCAGGCTTCCCTGCTGCTGTTAAACACTGTCCTTGTCCAGACACTTACAGAGCACTTCTCTCTTTAAATCAACTTTATGTCCGCTGGTGTCAAAAGATGGTTGAGCAGGACAGAAATGAAAACTTAACTGTTTTGACCTTTAGTTCCTCTGCAAAAGTGTAATTATTGCAACAAATCTACAGCACTGTGCAAAAGTTGGCCTCCAATGCTACTTCACGTTTTGCTTCCAATCAGTTTGACATTCTCGTAACTTTTTAAGGTGAATTTTAATCAACACATTTACCGTTTTGAAGGTTTTTTTCTTTTTCAATCTTGGACCCTTTTCATTCATTTTATCTTCACTTCTTGTATTTGATTATGACTTTACAGTTTGCGTTTTAAAAAGAGTGGACTACACGTTGAGCGTCTCAGACTTTTATCTGTGATGTTTTTAATCAGTTAAACTAAGTAAAGAGATGGGGGGGGGGGGGGGGATCTTAGTGACAAACTGCTGAGAACGATGTCTGAACACATTATTTTAAAATATACAATATCAGTTGTCTGAGTTGTGTTGAAACATCAATTCATTCTTTGAGTTTAGGAACTTTCCCCAACCATCAGCAATAAAAGCAAAAGAAAAGTAGAACATGTGTTTGTATATGCCTCAGTTGGCTGTCATCACCATCTTAAATCATTTGATTTCCAACATGGCAATGACAGCCAACGAGCTAAGGAAGCTAAGGAAGCTAATGAAGCTAAGGAAGCTAATGGAGCTCGTAAATGACTAAAACTGTCAATTTTAGAGATTTTGAGTGAAAAGTTGGGCCAGCAAATGTGTCATGATCTCTATGTGCCACAAAATTGCAAATAATTTTTTGCTTAAAACTTTGGGAACAACCACCCTGTTTGTTAGCAAAATATCTCACCAGACAGATGTTAAGGAATAATTTCATGTGCAGCTAATACTGATTAACTTTTGGAAACAACCTGATTTAAGATGCCCACCACAGCCAGCTGACCTCAAATAGCATAGAGGTTTAATAGAAGTTCAGCTAATCATTGATGAAGGTAGCTAAAACACATTCACAACACACCCTGAGCGCTAACGCATCTCGTGAGATGCCACAGTATTTTATGAAATCACACATAATGTCATGTACAAGCTTTGAAAAGCAGCTTTGTAAGTTTAAAATGCTGACATGGCAGGCAGCAGGTTTTTGTGTTCTTTGAAGGAATGTAGAGAATTTAATCCCTGAATGATTTGTCAATGATAAAAATGAAAATAATGATGGTCAGTTTATTAAAAAACACAAACATTCTTCTGAAAATTATCAGGTACTGAACTGAAAAGAAGTGAAAAAGGAGATAAAAACTTTAAAGGACCCTCAGAATAAAGCTCACTTTAAAACTTCACCAAAAACTTTTTACTTTTTTTTTTTTTTACTTTTTTGACTGTAACATCTGAATGTAACTCTGACTGGTTTGTGTTTTCTGTACCAACCCATTACCCATAGCAAACAACTAGCTTAATGAATTGAAGAAGAAAAAAAAACATTTTGATAAATTTGAACGTTTGTAACCATTTGAAACGTATAATTTGTATAAAAAAAATTATCTCACAAAGCTAACGTATAAAGAATCCTATGATCATACATCCATGGGAATTTATTTTTTGTCTATGGCTGTAAAACCTAATGTATATTTATCTTTTTAGATATTTAAATATCCATGGTTGTGTTTCATATAGGGTGTTCCTGGAAGCCCTGGCTCACCAGGCAGAGATGGCCCGCCAGGACTGAGGGTAAGAAACCAGACAGATGTCCACTTTACTTACTTCTTCTTTGTGTCCTTTGGCGTTATGAGAAATGCACAGTTTTCTGTCTTTTTATTAATTTATTTAACAATAAGGATTTCATCATAACTTTCAGTTTCATTTTAACTGCCTAAGACTCCATTCATATTTGGCACAAAAAATAGACAAGATGCATAAAATCAGTACAGTACAGTTAAAAAACGTCTATGTTTTTTTTTTATATATATTTGAGTTAAATGGTGTGGAAAGTGTAATTCATGAAGTGAAAGTTGAACACAGCTATGGAAATGTTTACTGCTGTGTTCTTTGGGTTATTATCCCTCTGCACGGTGGAAAACCATCCAGTGTTTGGCAGAATCTGAAAAGACTTTATATTGCAGTTCATCTGGCTGGTTCTGCTGTCTGTCACATCATTTATGAACGCTTGTCACTTTAATACAGGTTAATCTGAGGGTTATTTGCTGTTTCAGAAATAATTTGGATTTTTAAGAAGTTTATTTGGCAAAAATTATATATTTTACTCTTGCGGATTTTAAGTTTTTACATTAGTGTTTTGTCTGAAATGTTTGTTTTTTTCTGTGGTAAGCTTGGATATTGATTTGTCTACCTGCTGGGAGAACTACACTTGGCTGAATGTCATGAGGGGAGGTTTCATTTGTCATGCACATAATCCTGTAATCCACCAAGGTTTTCCCCTGTGGATGTCCAGGTCTTTGTTTTGTCCTGAGCTATGTAAGTGGCTCAAACTGCTGGCAAAGAGCATCTTTGGTTGTGTTTTATGGCTTCTAACGCAACACTTTTTTACCAACTTCTGGTCTTTAGTAAGCTTAACTGATGCTCAAATAACAAGAATCATAACTTACCATGAAAATAATGAGAAATACTATTTTGCTACATTCAAATTTCTACTTTAACAATTTTCCCTGAATGCTTCTTCTACTTTATCTACATACCTTGAAAATAAAGATGTGTTCACTGTACGCATGTAGCTTCAGTATGTTTTGATGAACAGTTAATATAACAGCAATCATGTGAAATTTCTATCTCGTACTGGATTGGTGCATTTTCCAGCTGTGCACAGAGTCCTTAATGCCCAGCTGTGTTTGTCAGTTTGGATTTACGTTGCATCATAAAGATGCTCATCTTTCCCATCGACGCTGAAAACAGTCCAGCTCAAGTTTTAAAACAGCCACAGTGAATGACATCCCATTCATAAAGGCTCAATGATTACCAGCTTTCTGCAGTCGATGCGGGAGCTAGAATCAGCCCTTACGATGCCCAGCTGAGCCGTAAATACCAAAGCAGAAAAGCAGCCAACGTGTTGAGAGCCAGCAGGCAGCAGAAGGTTTCGTTCAAATATGTAATACGATAACAGAGGAGTTCTGGCCTGGCCTGGATCCCACAGAGGTGGAAGGCTCATCCGCTGTCTCTTAGCAGACAGCAGTCCTGATGGTACCTATTAGCAGAACTCAGGCACAGTTTTTATGCTTGTCATGGATTTTTCTGTTGAACTTGTGAAGTTTCTTCTCACATTGCCAGAAAATCTAAAAAAGTTAAATCTGGTCCTCTGGACATTCAAAAAAAAAAAAAAAAAAAAAGCAAAACAACAAAAAATATAGAAACGTTTCATCTCTCATCCGAGAGACTTCCTCAGTCTGAGGTGCTGTATTCAGCTCAATCTCTTAAATAGCACCTTCTCAGAGTGGATCAACCAGTTGAACTGGTTGATCCACTCTGATGGTCCAGTCATTTGGAAGCTCTTTCTTATCACTTGGAGCCTTTAACAGCTCCTCTCTGAATTTCTCACAACATTCTTCCTTCTTTATTTTCCACCATTTTATCTTCTTCTCTGGTTTTACTCTTTTTCTCTTCTTCACAATATTATTATTATTATTATTATTATTATTATTATTATTATTAGTAGTAGTAGTAGTAGTAGTAGTAGTAGTAGTAGTAGTAGTAGTAGTAGTAGTAGTAGTAGTGGTAGTGGTAGTGGTGGTGGTGGGGGGGGGTAGTCTAAAAGAGCACAGCATGTCATGATCTCAGCTCTCTGACTTTTCTCTGGCGCCTGCCATCGCTCTCGGGCTCGCCCACTACTCCACTGCAGAGCGGAGATCTGACATACTGCAGGAGGAAGCTTCTCCTGCAGCTGTGGGCTGCGCACAGGTGCAGCAGTTGTTAAATAATTTAAAATAATTTATTTTAAATAAAAAAATCCATGCAGATCGTGAGGCTCATCCATCACTCGGCCAATTGTGTGTCATGTCCAATCTTACTTTGAAAAACTGCGATGGAGCAAGTCCGCGAAGAACGAACCGCGAAGTAGCAAGGGACTACTGTGTATATACATATATATATATGTGTATATATATATGTATGTATGTATGTATGTATGTATGTATGTATATATATATATATATATATATATATATATATATATATATACATATATACTGTGTGTATATATATATTTTTTTTAAGAATTTTCATTCTTATATCATCAAAAAGATTTTTTGAAGTGACTGTCGTAACTAAATAGCAAAGTAAAACGTAAAACTTGATTCAGGGAATTAAACTGTTTTTTTTTATGTCAAATTACAAATAAACCAAATGAGATATTGATTTCAGGTTTAGTGTGTACAATGACAGCAGAGCAGAAGAAAAACCTGCTCAGTTTAGTTCAGAAAATTGTAACAACTGTTTTTGAATGTAATCTATCCACCACTATTGTATAACTTAAAAAGTTTAAACTATAGAAAAGATCACAACCGTGATTTTTCACTGTACCTCTGTAAGGGTCCGTTGGGTAACAGTGGACCACAAGGACGGCAGGGGCCCCCAGGACCTGTTGTAAGTCTCTGTTATTTTTAATCACATATCAGTTTTTGATTTAGTAAACCTCAGTCAGCTTCTTTACTTTTATCTATTTTCTTCCAGGGAGTCCCAGGAGCCCCAGGTGCTCCAGGACCAGGAGGACCCACGGGGCTTCTAGGAGATCAAGGACTTCCTGTGAGTCATAATGTGTTCTTTTTTATTATTCAATCGCTTCAGCAGAGTTTACTCCAATTAATGGAAAAAAATTAACAAAAAAACTTTATTAATGTGTTGGCACTCATATTTTGTTGGGGCTTAGCCTCACCTACTACGGTAGATGGATATCCAATGACTATTTTCTGCTAATTTTATTAAAACTTGTTCTGTGGTTCATGAAATATCTCATGCAAACACACTGTTGCTCTCTCTAGTAACTCACAAAGGACAAGCTCTTGTTAACTCATGGCTTTATTTAGTGGAGCAACATCATCCTTACTTCTATTGTCGGAACACTTTCACCACCGTGAGAACTATAAACACAAAGAATAAACCTTAAAATTGCTCTTCAGGAATATGCACATTAGCATGAAGCTACACCTAGCGCCGATGATGCACGTCATTGTCCGCGTTACTAGCTGGAGAATTCTTGCTGCAACATTCGTTGTGACACACTTTCATAAAGATGTAAAAAACAGTAATCGCACACAAAAATACAAGAGATCTTTTATTCTTCTCATCAGTGCTCGACATGCTGAACAAACAAAGAAACTTACAGTAAGACGTCATTACTCTGCTCAAGCTCTGCTAATCGTCATTACTGGTGCCAATATTGTTTGAACGCTGAAGAACATCCACCAGGATGTCACATCCGGTTTGTAACTAACATTACTTTAAAGTAACACTTTTATTTTAAGCAAAACGTCTCTGTCACACACACACACACACACACACACACACACACACACATTTTGAGTGTAGAATACAACACAGACAGGGTGCTGAAGAGAAGAAGTTGAGATGTACACTGCCCAATCATGTTGTGAGGCTGCTGACAGCTAATCTAGTCTTGGGTCAGCACTCCACACCAGAAGCAAGTTTGAAATTCCCAGGATGGTTTCTCTACACAACTCATCCAGTGACAAATCATGACCGAAGAGCCAAGACGTGGCAAGAAGGCAGGCGAGGGTCAGAAACGCAGAGGCAGGCAGTGAGGTGGTCAGGCGTGGGGCAAGCTGAGGGCGAAGGCTGAAATCCATGTCCAGAAAGCAGAGATACTGTAAGTGTAGAATCTCAGAGTTAGAGTCAGAGTTTCTTTATTGTCATTTGCACCACATGTGGTACATGTGGTGGAACGAGATTGTGTACACAGGGTCCCAGTTACATCCAAAAATAAAATGTAAAAGAAAAACAGTAATAAGATCCAATATATGAAATAAAAACATTAAATCAAAATATACTAAGCACTAATAGCATAAAAACAATAAAAACAACACGCCGAACAGCAGCATGAACATGTCTGTGTGAGCAGATGAGCACGAATGAACACAGCAGCATGAAATAAATCAGCAGCAACATGAAACAGATCAGCAGCAACATGAAACAGATCAGCAGCAACATGATGTGATTTTCCACAGTGATTATTCTGGTTAGAGATTCATGAGTCTAACAGCCTCAGGGTAGAAGCTGTTCCTCAGCCTAGTGGTTCTACACGTAATGCTCCTCAACCTCCTTCCTGAGGGGAGCGAGGCAAAAAGTGTGTGTGCTGGGTGAGTGGGGTTCTTCATGATGCAAGTGGCTCTCTTCCTGCATTTAGAAGTGTAGATGTCTGTGATGGTGGGGAGGCTGGCTCCAACATCTTCTGTGCAGCCTTCACCACTCTCTGCAGAGCTTTTCTTTCTGCAGCTGTGCAGCCTCCATGCCACACATTGATGCTCGAGCACAGGATTCATTCAACCTTTATTTAGACTGATAAGTCACATTGAACGTAGAAGACTCATTTACAAGTGAAATCTGTTTAGACAGACAAAAAGGATGCTCTCCACTGTACACCTGTAGAAGGAGGTGAGGACTGAGCTTCCCAGACCAGAATGACACAGCAACAAAATCTAGAGAGCAGAAACATGGTCATAAACAGATAAAAAATTGGCAAGGAAGTAGCGTTGGAACACACAGAACTGTTGTTGATAATCTGGCGAGGTGTCTGTGGCTGGAGGGAGCTTAAAAAGAGCAGAACTGAGGTGAGGGGCAGCAGAGCAATAAGTAGCCACAGGTGGACTGATTACTACCTGACATGTAGCAGTGGAAACACAGACTGAAACTTTACAATTAACAATAATTTAGTCCATGTTCTGCCCCGAGACTCGTTGACGATTACTTTCTTCCATAAAAGTGTTGCTATTATCTGAAAGGCTGCTGCCAGTTGAATCTGGAGGAAATGTATAATTCAGTTCTACCAGCTTTTTTAACAAAGACCCAGATATCTGACCACTCATTTACTTCATCAAAGGCTACATAGCACATAAAGCTGCAGTGTCGCAGACCTTTAAGCACTTTTCAGTTTCTTGATGTGAAACACAAGCACTGTACATCTGGAAATGTTACGCTTCATCCATCAAGATGAGCAAAAGCTTTAGGACTAACTTTAAAAACTGGGATGAAGGTTATAGATTTGTGAGAAATCTTAAATTTCCTGTTTGCCTGACCCCTCATCATAGCCAGAATTCATCACAGTAGTCACCAGATGAACAGGCTCAACAGAGCGTTAAAGCTCACATGATGTCTCCCAAGAACCTCACCCCCACCTCCCTCTTCGTTTCAGACCTGGAGGAGCAGAAACAGACTCTGAATGTGGTTTCCAGTTATAAAACTACTCAAGTCTTTTATTCAAATATCTCTCGTGACTTGAGAGCAACCAGTCTTTTTTTTTTTCAGCCATGTAATGAAAAATTAATCATCAATGTTCTTGGAAATATATTATCAGCGGATCGATTTATAGATAAACAGAATTCATTCAATCTTTATTTATACAGCCTCGGGGACTCATTTACAAGAGAGACCTGAATTTTTAACAAACTGTGATGACAATGGTGGACAACAACAACAACGACAACAATAGACAATCATAAAAGATGTGTAAAATTAAAAAAAAAAAATTTTTTAACAAGTTAAACTAAAATGGCAACCAAAAGGACAATCAAAAGGAAAAGTAGTGAAAAAAACAGCTAGATTGTAAGGATTGTAAAAATATTTTAAACAATAGTCAATGTGGGTTTAGAGCAAAACATTCAACATCAATGGCTCTCATGGAACTAATAGAAGAGACAACAACTGCTGTTGATAAAAACAGTATTGTGTTAGTGTTTTTGTTGATTTATAAAAGGCCTTCGACACTAATGACCACACCATTCTCCTCGAAAAAGTGAATAAATATGGCATTAGAGGATTAGCACTACAGTGGGTATCCAGTTATTTTAATAATAGGAGACGGTTTGTACAGGTAAACAATGTAAGATCTGAATTTTGCATTAATGGATGTGGAGTTCCTCAAGGCTCTGTGTTGGGACAAAAGTTGTTTATTTTGTATGTGAATGTGGTTGATGTGTCAGGGCTTTTGAAGCGTGTTTTATTTGCAGATGATAGCACATTTTTTTGTTCGGGTGAAGATATTGAACGGATGTTAGAGATGATACAGGCAGAATTTGTAAAAATACAAACTTGGTTCCAACTTAAGTTATCATTAAATTTGGAGAGAAAGAAAAAGCATGATATTTAGTAATAGAAAGAAAATTATTGAAGTCCCATTTAAAATTGACAGTATTGAAATTCATAGAGTTAATGAAATAACATTTTTGGGTGGCGTTATTGATGAGAAGCTGACATGGAAATCTCATGTAAATTACTTAAGAATAAAAATAACAAAGCTAATTGTATTACTGTATAAAGTAAAAGAGTTTTTGAATGACAAAGCTTTGTATATATTGTATAATGTAACGATTGTTCCATATTTAATCTATTGCATTGAAGTTTGGGGAAAAGCATGCAAAACGATTACAAACCCTATTTTTATTTTACAAAAAAGAGCTATAAGAATTATTAGTAGGAACTTCTGAAGTGCTATAGTTACCCAACAAATATCTTATTTCATCAGTTGAAATTATTAAAATTTCATGATTTGGTTGAATATAATATTTTACAAGTCATATATAAAGCTCATAAAAAAATATTACCCCCAAATATTCAATTAAAATTTGTTTAAAAAAAGAGAGTCATTATAACCTTAAGGGAATGGAAATATTTGTAAAACCTCCATTTAGAACTAGTCTGAAGGAGCGCTGCATTCAGGGAATAGGATTGTGGAAGTGCCTTAATATCACCATAAAATTTTCTAAAACAATTTACAGTATATGTTTAAAAAGATGATTAAGTTAAAATTGTTAGGAAAGTATGGTGATAGGAAGGATATCTGGCGTAAAAACAATTACCAAGTCTTTGTCATAAAAACAAAATAGTGTGAAAGGAGTTCAATTCAGTGCTTATATTTACAAAAAACCCTGTGGAGCAAGAAGATGGGTTTAGGTCCAAAATAAGACTGGGGGGGGGGGGGGGGGGTGATAATATGCAATATCCTTACTGATAGATGGCGCAGTTGATGGTTAGGGTTCCTGAATCCTCTGTAGTAAAGAGAGAGTCCAGAGATCACTAGAGAGCATGTGGCTAGAGACACAGGAGAACAGCTGAAAGGGGAACATGTAGGTTCCAGAGGTTCACGTGGAGCTCCAAGGGCACAGGTAAGTATTCACAAGGTTCAAGTAACACACAAAGGGCTGAGAGCACGAGTAATGCTCCAGCATCAGAGTAATGGCAGCATAGCCGTATATACAACCAGGAACCTCATCGGTGGATATTGTCTGCAGGTGTGTAGGTATAACGCCCTCTGGTGCTCGAACCCTGGAACCCTCACAGTCTTTGTGCGAGTTGGTTTGTTGCGGCGACCCCTGAAGAAGGGAGCAACAGAAAGAAGAAAAAAAGTTTTGACTGTAAAAGAGGAAAATTATTCGAGTACTTCTCCCTCTGCATACAAAATGTAACATTTTGGGCAAACCCTACATGACAACGAGAACGATCAAATTATAAATCTTGAGCTTGATATTTACTTCCCTCCAGCTGTGTCTCCTTTATTTATCCTGGGGTTTTTTCATGTCCCCCAGATATAAAGGTGGACGTTTATGAGAACCCCAGGAACATAAAAGAGGTCCAGGACGAGACTTTTATTATCATATCAGCTGTTGGCAGGACCCTCCTATCATCTGTGTTGTAATGTGCATCTAATTTCCCAGGCCAAACACACATTTACTTCCCTCTCAGCACATCAGCTCTTACACAACCAGACAGTTGTTGGTCAAGGTCATTTCCTGCTCAAGATAAACATGCTTTTATTCAAAAGCTGTAACAGCTTTTGAATAATGTTACGGCGTATATTTATCACATCGGCACATAGCTGCTCAGCCAGGAAATATTAGTCTCTGGATAACGATGACTTTGACTTGGATGTGCACAGGCTTTGGCAGGTTTTAGAGCGGCTGTGTGTGTCGTGAGCAGATATGCATCTCGTGGGTTTACAGTGATGACAACAGCGAGAGGTGAATTCATTCAAAGCACAGATGTCACTCTTTGCTTGTGGACTCGTAACTTTGAGGCTCATCGAGTTCACATTGTCAGAATGTGAATGCGTTTAGTGGCCTCAATAAATCCAGGAAGACAAAAATTCAGTTCAGTTTATTCGTATATGTGTAATGAGTTAGTCATTAAAGACTGTTTCTGAAAGAACTGCCCTTGATTGGTTTCTATATCCACTCTTTGTGTCTCTGTTTCAGGGCCTGGCTGGTACCAAAGGAGAAAAAGGAGAAAAAGTAAGTCTTGAACCACAGTGTGAGCAGATTAACATTTACTGCTCCACTTTGCTGTAGAAATCCCTGGCTTTCTGTTCACACCCTTGTTTTGAAGTAAACCACATTACTCTCAGACTTAGCCACCACTTCCTGTTCTCCTCCTGCAAAAGCACAGTTTAATTCTCGCCCACACTCTCTGGCTCATTTAGAGCAAACCAAATGAAATCAGTATTAGTGCAGCAGTGCAGTCTCTGGGTTTTTGCTGAGGCAGCAGTGGAGCCATCACTGCCGAAGGCTTGTGAGGCGTGTCGCTTCGACAACTTGACAAACTGAATCCCTGCCATGCGTCATGTCATCAGCTGCTGGAGACATTTGTTCCTTGCACTGGTAAATTATTGTTCCGAGACTCAACAGAAAAGTGTTTTTATAAACGTAAATAGGATTTTCTGCACCGAGTTGCACATTTCAGGGAGGTGTCCCTGTTCTGAATAAAGCTGGTGACAATTTAATCACCTTTCCCCCCCTCTAAAGCTATTTTTGGTGTGTTTTATGACATTTGATCAAATTTGTGAAGCACGCACTTGCAAAATGTAGATTTGAATTCATTCAAGATATGCATATCACGTCAAACCTCAGAATAATATGTCACTGCACAAAAAAACAAACGTGGACTGTGTTTAAATGACAAGCACCTGTTCAGTTCAGGCTCTTTCATTTAAATAATGCAAAACATACATTATGTTTAATGTTGTTAGTAAAGCTGAAAGATTCTGTCAAAAAGCTGCAACCAATTAAATTGATCTGTTTCAATATATATTTAATATAAATAAAACACTTGAAGAATTTAGTATAATCCCCCTTTTTGTACTTGTAGAAATCCTTAGCTGTATCTTTGTTGAAGTAATTTTAAATAAAGTCTAGGATTCTGCCAATTTTTCATAAAAGCAGCTTTATTTCAAGGAACAAACACCACTGACCATAAAGATGGTGTTATAGAACAGATATTGTGCTAATGATGTTTAGAGCGCACCACAGTTGGTAGAGCTGCCACCTCTCAGCGAGAAGGTCGCCAGTTCAAATCCCAGCCTGGGACCTTTCTGGGTGGAGTTTGCATGTTCTCTCCGTGCATGCGTGGGTTTTCTCCAGGTACTCCAGTTTCCTCGCACAGACCAAAAACATGCATGTTAGGCTGATTGGTAACTCTAAATTGTCCCTAGGTGTGAGTGAGAGAGTGAATGGTTGTTTGTCTTGCTTGTCTCTCTGTGATGGACTGGAGACCTGTCCAGGGTGTCCCTCACCTTTCTCACAGTGACTACTGGACATGGGCACCAGTGACCCCTGTGACCTGGAATGGAAGAAGCGGGTAAAGATGATGGATGGATGGATGGATGGATTTTTCAAAGGAGAACAAATATTGTATTCAGTTTAAAATAATGCTGGCACTCAGTCGTGGTTTTATTTATTTATCTATAAATAAAATAATAGATTTTGTAACAACTCTTCCATTTGAAGTCAATAAATAGTTTTGAAAAATGGTTTTAATTTTTTTGTGCTTGCAAAAGTACAAACTCCATCTATATTTTAAATCAACAAAACAAAGACATATGTTTTTGTTTGTTTTGAAGTTTGAATTACAAATACTCTACCTGTTACTTTTTAACTTTCTTTGAGACAGTTTTGATAACAATAAATTTAAAAGAATCAGTGGCTAAAAGGTGACGAGTGCTCAACTCTTAAAATATCCTCCCATCAGTTTACCCATCAGTCTGAAACCTTATCTTGTTTTATTTCTTCTGAAGTGTATCGACCTGTTTCTGTTTGTTCAGGGTGAGGTGATGTCCCATTCTGAAGTGAGAGCCATTGCACGACAAGTGTGTGAGCAGCTCATCCACAGTGAGTAATCAGTTGTTTTTACACAAGCGCAAGTATGAAGGAAACTTTGACTCTGCAGCGCTTATTAGGATCTTTTAGTTTGCTCAAAAACATGAAAAATATTTTTTTAAATACCAACATTGTAATTTCAAGTCTTGTTATCGTCCTCCTCAACCTGCAGGTTATATGTCTCGTTATAACTCCATCTTGCACCAGCTCCCGCTCCAGTCATCATTATCAGTCAAAACGGTGCCTGGACCACCTGGAGAGCCAGGTAGAAGAGGTCTTCCTGGTCCTCAGGGAGAGGCGGGCCCACCTGGCAGGCCTGGTTTCCCTGGTGCCTATGGTCAGAACGGCCAACCGGGTGAAAGAGGTGAGTAATCACCAGTAAAGAACAAGTAATGGACACAGAGCAAACGTTTTGTGGGCCTTTATTCCCCGACTACACGCAACAGAATATAGCATTGATTTTCTAAATTTCAGTTAGCATAAGTAAAGTGAATAATCATCCATCCATTATCTTTTACCTGCTTCTTCCATTTTGGGTCATGGGGGTCACTGGAACCCATATTCACCAGCAGTCACTGTGAGAGAGGTGGGGGACACCCTGGACAGGTCTCCAGTCCATCACAGGGACACATAAAGACAAATGAGACAAAACCATTTACTATCTCTCTCACCTAGAGACAATTCAGAGTTACCAATCAGCTTAACATGCATGTTTTTGGTCTGTGGTAGGAAACTGGAGTACTAGGAGAAAACCTATACATGCACGGAGAGGACAGGCAAACTCCACCCAGAAGGGCCCCTGGACCGGGATTTGAACCAGGGACCGGCTGACATAGGCTGTCACACACAGGCTTACACAGATGTTGCATTGATGCTCCGGTCGCAAGGTCTGCCCACAGAGAGTATAAAGAATAGTCTTTTTATAAATCTTATCAAACAGAGAAGAGATCAAACAACTTCTGCTTTCCAGCTTAGAGGCCTTGGGGTTCATCAGGTGTGCAGGCTCCTCTCTGTTCAGACACAACAACTCTAACGTACACACATGGTTCTACATTCTTTTAACATTAGATAGTGATAACATCCATGACCTTTATTCCCCTGACAGTTTCACATGTGGAGTAAGACAGCAACGAGCAGGGAGGGTCGGGCTCCGAACCGTCAAGTAGTGGGGGTTAGGATGCTTGACAGAAGCAAAGTGTTTACAAACAATCTGTTAAAATACATTAAAATGCAGGAAATTGCATCTACTTTATTCAAAAAATTTGGGGGCGGGCACCCAAACCCCACCCACCCCTTGCTGGCCTGCCTGCTATTTGGGGGAGTGGTGGCGCAGAGGTTAGAGAGGTGGGCTTGTGATCCGAAGATCGCCGGTTCACGCCCCGGCCCCGACAACATCAAAAATTGTGGGTGGGGTAGGTGAAACACCCACACTTGCCCCCACCCTCATTCGCCCCACTCTGGGCCCATGAGCAAGGCCCTTAACCCCACCATGTGCTCCCTAAAACAGGTCTCTCTTGAAAATGAGTTCTCGTGGCTCAATGAGACTAACCTGGATAAATAAAGGCTAAATGAAAAAAAATAAATAAATTTGTGTTTCGGTATGATCAGTTTACAAATTAAGCCCCGTTTGGACTGAACTAAATCAAAGCTGAGGGAGGGAGTGGGTGTGTATTGATGAGTAATAATTTTCTAGTTTATGATTTATGAAGGCAAACGTAGAAACAATAAACACTATATGCTGCTAACTTATTGCTAGTCATGTTGTTTGGTTTTTAAGGCAAAAAGGGAAAGCAGAAACAGAAGTTTGCACCCCCCCTTTTAAAAATGTGGATGAGCTGCTCCACCTGCATCATAGAGCAGGCCCCCATGACTTCACTTAGATCTCCACTCCACTAAAACTCTATGTTAGCTCCTCAGTCTGGTCATAGTTAAACTTTGTTTCTACAGACTTAATTTCATTCAGAAAGCTAGCTAAAGCAAGTAAGACTAATCATTCGTAACTGTTTCATAGAAGCTCACTTCATACCATCTGAATTGTTACTTTAAGAACAACGCCTAAATGAAAAAAAATCAACGTTTTAATGACTGTGTTTGCTCACAATTTATGCTCCAATTGCTTTTGTCTGAGCTGCAGCGTTGGCTGGACCCACCCAGTCTATTAAACACAACCGTCTGTAAAATTCTATTTTTATTGTTAGCAACATGCATAACAATAAAAAATACACCACAATAAAATAGCAAATCCTCTACTCCTCCAGTTGATGTGCTACTATCCTGCTTGTTTGCAGGATTTTGTGGGCTGTGCTTCATAAATCATGGTGAATACAGTAACGTGTAGATCCATGAGGTCATTCTTCTGCCACTAAGTCTTTGGAGGACAAACGGGCTTTATGAGTCTTTGTCTTCATCACTCAGACATGCAGCCCACCCTGAAGAACCACATTCTGAGCAAAGAGACAACCAAAAGCTGCTCAGCGTCTGTCAGGAAGTGCTCAGCGTTCATGTGTCCTCTTCAGGGTTTCAAACCTTTGAATCCTTCCAGTAAAATGTATAATCTGAGTCCACCGAATTCTTCTGGACCACTTTACAGTCTTTAAGTTGATCTGTAAGAGCAGCCAGCCAAAAATGATGTTTGGGTTAAAGGTGGTCAGGGCAGAGGTTTTTAGAAACGGGGAGGAAAAACTGCAGCGTAGGACTCATTTATTTTTAGTATCAGTAAACAAGTTTGTGAAGACGCTGTCCAGACAAAGTGCTGCTCCAGAATTGAACTTTTTGCTTGAGGGCACGTAAACTATGTTGTGTATAGTTAGGACAGCTGTACACCCAGCAGGACAGAAAACCCACAGATCAGGTTTTGTGTTCATCTGATTTGTGAATGACAAATAACACATGAGGTCATTCAAACAGCTGCATCACTGAACCTCAGCGCAGAGCTCTGGTTTATTATCAGACTCATCACATGAAGCAGAACTTGCTCTGTACGTTCTCAAAAATCTATTTAAATTCTTCTGACTGGAAGTCATTTTCACTGCAAACTGAGATGCAGCTGGTTTTTAACACTCATGACTGATTTAATTCTCTACAGAGCGTCATAAGATGAAGTTAAGGAACAATACTTTTTTATTTTTCCTCCTCCTTCTTTCGGCTGCTCCCTTCTTCAGAGGTCACCGCAGTGAACTAACTCACACGAAGACTTGGCAGTTGTTTTTATGCCGGATGTCCTTCCTGACGCATCCACAAACCACCGAGCTACCACAGTCCTCTGTGTGGAGCAGAGAGCTGACATCTACGGCGTACATGGAGCAGATGGTCCTCAAGGGCCCAGAGTGGGGGCAAATGAGAGTGGAGGCAGGTGTGGGTGCTTCACCTTTCCTACCCACATTTTGATGTTGTCGGTCTGGGGAGTCGACCCGGAGACCTTCTGATCACAGGCTCGCCTTCTCTAGCCTCTGCACCACCGCTCTCCTATGGAACAATAAATGATTTATTACAAAAAATTACACATCCACATTCAAAGTTAGTCAGTGGTGTAGTCTACATTTTTGTAGTGGTTATACTGTGCTTAGAAACCAAAGTACACTGGTTAGTACAAAGCAATCGTCAATTTATTTAAATTTTGAAGCATATTGAACATTTCCAAATTCCTCTGATGCTTCTATTTGAATAAATGTACAACAAACTTTGTACAACAGTTGGCTTTGGGTTAAAAACATGTTATAGAAATTATAAAACGGTTTCAAAGCTAAACATGTTCAAGTATTAAGTAGTAAGTTCAGAATTACACAATAATTTGCTGGATAATCTAAATAAACAAGCGCTGTGTACAGAAATGGTTACAGAAGCGTTTAATGTATCAATGACATGTGCCTAATGATATGTCATGGATCACTGGGCACTTTTAGATGGGTAAACTGAAATTCTCAAGCTTTTCTAGTGGGTATACTCCGTATACACGCGTATCGTGAAGACTACACCACTGAAGTTAGGACTTTATTTTTTGGCTATTTTTAGTATTTTGGAGAATTTGTCTCGTTCATTTTTAGGTGAGAATTAATTTATCCACCCACAGATTTCCATCCATCCATTATCTTTTAACTGCTTCTTCCATTTTGGGTCACGGGCGTTGCCGGTGCCCATGTCCAGCAATCGCTGTGCGAGGGGCGGGAGACACCCTGGACATGTCTCCAGTCCATCACAGGGCCACAGAGACAAACGAGACAAACGACCACTCATTCTCTCACTCACACCTAGGGACAATTTAGAGTCACCAATCAGCCTAACATGCATGTTTTTGGTCTGTGGGAGGAAACCGGCGCACCCGGAGAAAACCCACACATGCACAGAGAGAACATGCAAACTCCACTCAGAAGGGCCCCTGGATCGGGATTTGAACCAGGGACCGGCTCGCTGAGAGGCAGCAGCTCTACCAGTTGTGTCACCGTGCTGCCCTCCATAGATTTCCATTTGTTATAAACTAAAAACCATTTTATGCGGAAAAATCAGAATAATAACATATTCGGTCAAACTTTGATAGCGATGCACATAATCTCATGCAATGTCACACTCAGAGTGTTGTGAATGCTCATCATTTGTAAAACTGACTAAATAAAGCCTTTTTTTTTAAAGTTCATAAAATTCAGGGAAGCCATCCTGAATCAGCTCGATGTACATCCAATAAATGTTTCCTGAATGTTTCATTAAAATTTGTCAAGTCACAAGATATTTTGATCTCAGACAGACAAAGACTGACAAAACATCACAGTCTGCCTCCACCTATCAGCAGCAGGCATCCTGACTGAAAAAAATGATTTTACTCATTTTAAAAGTTTATCAAATGCTTTTAAATACATATCAAAGCACGAGATAAACCAGTATTTTCTTCTTCTTACAACTGACTGCTCTGTTTAATCTAATGACGAGGCTTTTTAGCCTTTTTGAGTTTTCACCAAATCTGTTTTTATTAATGGAGTACATTAGCCACTAAGTTTAAATCCCAAACTTTAAACTTTTTAGTGGCCGAAGCAAAAATGGCTGTTTACGTGTCTCTCAGGGACAGACTGCAGGCTGGACCTCAACTTGATGCTGTGGCTCTGTGGAAATGCAACATCAAGGCCAGACTGGCGTTGGAGTTTTACTTCCACAGAGACACTGGACACCTGGAGAATTTTGTGAAACTGTGGGGATTTAAGGTTTTATGCACCATTTCTGATCAGGGAGATCTACAATACAACAAGCTCCTCATGTAAATATTTTTATTTTAAGCTTGTCCTGATCACCTTTTTTTTTAAAACACTCTTGTGTTAACTTATTGTGTAAATGAAGTTTTGTTCAAAATCTTCTTCCTCTTTCAGCTTTTCCCTTTTCAGGGGTTGCCACAGCAAGTCATCCTCGTCCATCTTAAACTGAACCAATATTTTGTATATTTAAATACCTTAAACCATAATTTTATCAAAATGTGGGTGGAAAAAGGTGAAGCATCCACCCCTGACTCCACCCTCATTTGTCCTCACAGAGGGCTGTGGTGGTCTGTGGTTGTGTCAGGAAGGGCGTCCAGCATAAAACAATTTTTAAGTCTTTGTTTAGCTCGCTGTGGCGACCCCTGAAGAAGGGAGCAGCCGAAAGAAAAAATAACATTTAAATAAAAACTGCCAGTAAAATCCAAACACGGTGTTAGATGCTGTGTAAACTCCTGAAAGGCTAAACATGACAGATGTGTCTCTTTTTCTTTGAACTCTGCATCTACAGGTTTACCAGGAGAGAAGGGAGACCGAGGGAGTCCAGGCGTTGGGAGTCAGGGTCCTCGAGGACCACCCGGTCCTCCTGGTAAGAGACGACATGATCCAGAACTGAACTAACCAAACTCACTGTCTGCAGCTCTGCTCAGACTCAACACACGTTTCTCATGTTCTGTAGCTGCTCTCAAAGATGAGCATTTCAAACTATTGTGTTCAAGAACATTTATTTTTTGTTGCTTCCAGTCCAGATTCACACATTTCCTACAGTTTTGTGTTGCTGCTGTGCTAAAGGAGAGGCGTTTCAAGGATTGAAACAATAAAATTCAATCGCTTCACTTTTTATTGAACCTCTGAGTGAAGAAAGTAAGCAGACGTTTTACACCACGAATATAAATCTCTGTATTGACTGAAGTGCTGTGTTGAGTTTGAGTGTTGTCTTATGAATATATGGCGACGTAGGGATTTTCTGTTTACAGCAGTCAATACTCGCAGAACAAGCAGAGGAAGCTCCCTTGAAACTTTTAAATAACTGTAAAAACAGCAAAATGTACATAATTCTGACTTGGGTGTTTGGGAGGTTTAATTCACTGGACTTGAACTAACATTGCACTTGACAATAGAAACTTCCAATAAAATATGGATATTTCTGCGACTCATTTCTCCTGTGAAAACATAAAACAATGACCTTTGAGCTAAATTTCAGCTCCTATCTGTTATTCTGTTAACCTCAGCTCATTCAGACCCTTCAGCCTGAACCGACAAACATTTACAGCTGCCTCATATATTCTAGTGTTTAAAAAAATGGTCAAGAGATTTTGTAAAATTCTGAAAAATGAACATCTTACCTGTTGCAGTAAGCTCTGGAAACAACCTCAGTTTAGAGAACTAGTATAATTCTGACCAAACCATTCATGTAAAGCCAGTATCTCACTTGACTGCACCAGTTGGGGACCAGTTGATGATTAAACATTTGTAGAAAATTGTGGGGGGAAGCAAATTTTTCAGATTCAGTCTAAGTTCTGAGTGTTTGTGACCAAGTCACCAGCAAGCTGTGTGGCTGCATGTCACGTGGCTAAATTATAGAGAACTACGAGTGTTGAGTTACAAATACATATTCTGTACAGTTAAAATAAAAAGATTAAAAACAACATGCGCCAAGGAGATCCAGGACACTCAGGAACATTCCTACACAATTTAGAAACTCCTCGTGAATGCTGTTCAGTTTGCTGCAGCATATTAAAATGGTTGCTTACAGGATAGCCTGAGCGGGACCAAGACTAAAGGAACGGCTGCCATCTTGAAACGACTCCAGTCTCCACACGTTTCATAGCAGCTCATGGAAACTCTTCTTATAAACGTTTAAACTGCTGAGAGTTTCATTACATGCTTATTTACATGGGATTCCATTATTTGAAGTGTTAACAGTGGGAACATCAACTAACTGGAGCATGTCTGGTGCCGCATGGAGCACTTCCTGCAGGAGAGTCAGAGTCAGAGTTTCTTTATTGTCATTCGCACCTCATGTGGTACATGTGGTGGAGCGAAATTATGTACACGGGGTCCCAGTTACATCCAACAATAAAATGTATAAGAAAAACAGTAATAACATCTAAGATATGAACTAAGAAAAACATCAACTAAATATACACTAAGCACTCATAACATAAAACATTGAACATCAGCACAAACATGAACATGAGTCTGTGAGCAGATGTGCACGCAAGAACACATCAACATTGAAACAGAACAGCAGCAACATGATATGGTTTTTCACAGTGATTATTCTGGTTAGAGATTCATGAGTCTAACAGCCTCAGGGTAGAAGCTGTTCCTCAGTCTAGTGGTTCTACACTTAATGCTCCTTAACCTCCTTCCTGAGGGGAGTGGGGCAAAAAGTGTGTGTGCTGGGTGAGTGGGGTCCTTCATGATGCAGGTGGCCCTCTTCCTGCATCTGGAGGTGTAAATGTCTGTGACGGTGGGGAGGCTGATTCCAACAGATTTCTGTGCAGCCTTCACCACTCTCTGCAAAGCTTTTCTTTCTGCAGCTGTGCAGCCTCCATGCCACACATTGATGCTGGAGCACAGGATGCTCTCCACTGCACACCTGTAGAAGGAGGTGAGGACTGAGCTTCCCAGAGCAGCTCGCCTCAGCCGTCTGAGGAAGTAGAGTCTCTGATGAGCTTCCTTGATCAGGCTGGTGGTGTTGTTGCTCCAGCTGAGGTTGTCATTCATGTGTACACCCAAGTACTTGTAGCTGGAGACCACTTCCACTGCAGATCCTCTTATATTCAGGGGGGTGTAGGTGTTTTTGTTCCTTCTGAAGTCCACAATCATCTCCTTTGTCTTCTTCACATTGATGTGAAGGTTATTCTCTCTGCACCAGCTCTCCAGGTGTTCCACCTCTTGCCTGTAGCTGGACTCATCATTGTTTGTGATGCATCCCACCACCGCTGTATCATCTGCAAACTTTACAATGTGACAGCCTGGATGGGTAGCTGCACAATCATATGTGAGCAGAGTAAACAGAAGGGGGCTCAACACACATCCCTGAGGAGAGCCAGTGCTGAGGGTTATGGTGGAGGAGGAGAGGTTGTGGATCCTCACTAACTGTGGTCTGTTTGTTAAAAAGTCTAGTACCCAGTTGCAGATAACAAGTCAATATTGATAATGATGTAGTTGGATTTGTGTTTAAGTTGGCAGCAGCCCACCGTTTCATGGCTTCACTCAGTGCTCGTCCATCTGGTTAGAATCAAACTGTATTTTTCATTTAAATAACTATCAATTATAGGTTAGATATTAATTGTTCATAGCCTTTTCACAGAACCCACTTTAAAAGATCCTGTGACCTCACAGCCCCAGGAAAACAGGATTTATATTCAATCATTCAGATGTGTAGTTTCCTCACAGTTCATCAGAAATTTCTGCTGGAATCTTTATTATGAGTTTGTGTCCCCCCCCCCCCCCCCCCCCCCACCCTCCGGTTTGGCAGGTGAAGGACGATCAGGCAGCCAAGGCCCACCTGGTCGGCCCGGTAACCCAGGTACAGCAGGGAGGCCCGGTAATCCAGGAGCCACGGGACAAGTTGGCCCACCAGGATACTGTGATCAGAACTCATGTCTGGGATACAACAATGGAGGTATTTATCCAGCTGTTTTTATGAACCAGCAACACTTTAAATTCTTTATAACACATTTAATGTTGACATTTAATATGTTCTTTTAAAGAAACAGTTCACATTTTAACATTTGTGTTTTATATATTTTTTAATTTTCAGTATAAATGTTGATGAGCATTCAGTCAGCACAGTCTGCATACAAGCACTTCAGACAATAGATATATTGACAATATATCACTTGTTTGTTCGTTAGCTGCTACTTTCAAGACTTTTTGAACCAGAAAAAGTAAAATAATTTTAAAATAATTTAACAAATGAGAGATTTCGTTGGTATTTCAGTAGAAAAGTTGGTCCATATGGTTTAAATACTGTGTATGGGTGTGAAGAGGTGTCTCCGCTGGAGCTTTATGTGAGAGAAGCATCAAATAAAAGGAGGGAATGGTTGAAAAATGATCAGCTGTGATAAATATAAAAACACAAACAGAAGTGGGGTTTTCTGCTTCGTTTTCCTCACGCAGGAGAAATGAATGAAAAGCATAGTTTGAATCATCTTGTGGGCGTCACGGTAGCGCAGAGTTGTCGCCTCTCAGTGAGAAGGTCGCCGGCTCAAATCCCAGCCCAGGACCTTTCTGGGTGGAGTTTGCATGTTCTCTCCGTGCATGCGTGGGTTTTCTCCGAGTACTCTGGTTTCTCCCACAGACCAAAAACATGCATGTTGGGCTGATTGGTAACTCTAAATTGTCTCTAGGTGTGAGTGAGAGAGTGAATGTTTGTTTGTCTCGTTTGTTTCTTTGTGTCCTTGGGATGGACTGGAGATGTCCAGGATGTCCCACTGCCTCTCGCACAGTGATAGCTGGATATGGGCCCCGGTGACCCGAAAAGAAAGAAGCGAGTAAAAGATGATGGATGGATAATCTTGTGATCTATATAGGATTTTCTAGATGAACTATAAAGTTCTGCAGAAATATGATGTGAACAAATCAGGTTCCTGCAGCTGAAGGTGAAGTAACATTTGGACTCTAGTGTTTTCTCGAACATTTCTCAAAACACTCAATATAGAGACTTTCAAAAAAGTTCAATACAAAAACAACTGGACTTTATTTGTAACAGAAGACGTTTCGCTCCTCATCCGAGGAGCTTTCTCAATTCAAAGAGCAGAGAGTGAGAGGTTCAGGTTATAAAGCTGAGATAACATACATGCATACATATGCAGATTGAAGTTTAAAAATAAAGAACAAATAAATAATAATCATAATAATAATAAATAAAGATACATACATATCTCACTCAGCTTTATAACCTGAACCTCTCACTCTCTGCTCTTTGAATTGAGAAAGCTCCTGGGATGAGGAGCGAAACGTCTTCTGTTACAAATAAAGTCCAATTGTTTTTGTCTTGAACGTTTTTGAATTGACCATGTCCTGGATGACTGAGAATCTTCACCAGAATATAGAGACTTTATAAACTCGCTGAGTGCTGTATGTTTAGCCGTAACCATAATGCGTCTCATGGTTTCTCAGCACTAGTAATGTAATTCAGTTTAATGTTTTAATTTAGCAGAATCACTCAAAACAAACTATTTCTTACCAGTTTAAACAGTCTGCGTCTGATGTGTCTTTCCATCTTCTAAAGCTTTATTTCTTAATGTATAAAACATTCAAATAACCAAAAAAGTTAAATCATGTCATCTGGACCAGTTTCCTTAAGGGAGCAACGTTTCATCTTCCGGATGAGAGACGAAACATTCCTCCCTAAAAGAAACTGGTCCAGATGACATGATTGAACTTTTTTTGTTGTTATCTACCTGGATGGTTGAGCCTAGAAACCTTAAAACATTCAAATGTTATTTTACAGCCTTAGTTTGCCGTCAGATTATTATTACTCCTGTAAAGGTCTGATACAAATGGAAAGGGCTCTGACTTTTACTGTTGTTCCTCTTTAAAGTTTGACTGAAGCATTAAGGACCTGACAGGACAAAGCTATTTTTCTGTTGTGAAAACTAATGAAATGTGCTGCTTCACACAGTCAGGTGCACAAACAACAGAACATCTCTGGAATATTCATGCCTGTGAGGTCAACGGGCGCCTCGAGCGTTGCACGTCTAACTGGGTCTGACGAGACGTCCGTATGATGAACGATCTGTTAGCAGCAGCTGATGGATGAGACATTACTTCATCTATCAGACAAGACTTATTTAAATGGATTCACCTCACAGTGTGTGTGTTTTGAAACATCTTGTGATTTAGGACTGTCTGCTTTTCACAAACTTTCAAGGTTTAAGCTCAGCCTCTGACCACTTCAGACACATTAGAAGACGTGTTGGATGTTTAGTCTGTTCCTTTTGTTTCACATCTCCAGCTTTGTGTTGCATCTGTAGCATCCATGTCTGTATTGTTTCCAACTAACCAGTTAAACCAGTGGTGTTGAGCTCTTGTCCACATGACAAATCAAGTTCTGCAGGAGCCCAATAATGACCTGTTCATTAAATCAGGTGTGTTGAAGCAGGGGAACTTCAGCAACCTTCAGCACGATGGCCTCCGAGCACCACAACTGGACGCCATTCAATTAGAAAGTCTTTTTTTTTTCTGTTTACATTGAGAAACTACAAGAAGGGGGTCCGTTTGCAGCTGCAACATTATTTTAAATATGAAGACTTCTTACTTTTGTGTTTATGAACATATTTGACTTCACTATTCTCCGTTCAAACATAAAACGCTTGTTATATTTGGACTCGAGAGCTCAGTTCAAATCAAAGTGTAGGCTGAGAAAAATCACAGGACACTGGTCTGACTGAAGAGGAGCAGCTCAGACATCACCAACATACAGGACTGGGATGAAGTGGGAGTTAATGTCCAGTTTACTGATGAGTTTATGCGACTCTTACACATAATCTGCTATTAAAAGCCATTTACAACTAAGACAGAGAAACTGATGTTTAAAATGAAAATAAGTTTACGTAAAATTAAACTAACACATTCAACATTCTCATTTATTTTGCTAAGTTGTCTCCCCCCCCCCCCCCCCCCCCCATCATGCTGTTTATGCAAACAACCAAGAAGGGGATATTTCACATCCAGTCATTGATTCCAGGGGTTCTCAAATTTTTGGGGTTCATGGAGCCCTTACAGGGAGAAAAAGTTTCAGAGACCCCCTCATAACCCTCATGTTTATTAAATAATTTTCTTCAATTTGTCTCTTTAATGCAATGGAAATATTTGTGTAACATAAATACTTAAGACCTGTTCTTTAATAGTGTTAATACAATTTTATACTTTTAAACATGGGGTATTTTTCATTCAACACACAATTAACAACATTTTAATTTCAACTAACAAAATTGCAGTTTTGAGAATATTAACAGTATCAAAAACCATTTTAAAATGATATATAATGAAATAAATAAAAACAAAATGTAATCGATGCTGGAACGCAAATAGCGGGCGGGCCAGTTGGGGGGTGCAGGGGGCTGGGGGACCTCCCCCAGAAAATTTTGTATGAAGTAGATGTGACTTCCTGCATTTTGGTGTATTTTAACAGGTTGTTAAATGTCTACCTGTTTGTAAAAAGTTTTTTTAAATAAAAATAATGTTTTGTTTGTTTTTGCGGACCCCCAAGCACCAGCTCGTGGACTCCCAGGGGTCCGGGGGACCCCAGTTTGAAAACCATTGATTTAGAAAAGTGAAACTGAAAATCATGAACAAAATCAAAATGACTGACCGAAAGATATTCTGACAGAAAGAAAGCATAACCACATTCCTTTCATCTGCTCAGCCACATACTGACAAAACTGCACATTTGTACGCTCTGAGATGTATTTGAAGAAACCGTGATGCATTTAGTGTGACGAGCACCCATTCACACAAAACACACAAATACAATCATCTTATAAACCAGTCAGACCCTGACACAGGGTGGACATGCGTGTTTGTAAACCTCCATCTAAAAGGAGTGTTTGGTTCTTCTTGCAAAGATAAATGAAAAGATTATTCAAGGTTGTTCTGTTCAGACCAAAGCAATCGAGTCCGCTTCATATTCATCCAGCAGACCAGCTCCTAATTTCTGTTCAAACTGAAATATACTTCACACAAAACATCATGTTGGTACAAAATGTTTCAAAATATTTGACTGACATTTTATTTTTCTAAAATTTCACTTGACTGATTGTACATGTTGTTTATTTTACCTTTTGATACATTTTCGCTTTATTTTTAAACTTAATATTTGTGGTTCACTCACATTCTGGCACTAATTTCTCAACTTCTTTGGAGCAGCTGGGGACGTTGTGTTCGGGCTGTATGAGAAAATAAAATGTTTGGTGTCTTTGGGTTTTTCTCTTCATGTGAGCTAACATTTTCTCTTTTCCTTCCCCTGCTCCCTCTCTCCTGTCGTCTCCTCTTCCTTCCGATTTGAAGGTCAGCAGGATTATGATGGGAATGATAACTGAGGACCTTCCTCCAGCCATCTTCCTCTCCTCGTCCTCCTCCTGTCCTCACTTTGCCAAAAACAATCCTTCCCTCAAGGTTACCCAGTTTTTCTGGGATGGATAGGCACGCTCACATTCAGCTCCAAACTTTGCACCAGCACCTTTAAATCTGAGCTCTGTGAAGTTTCCAGATTAGTCTTGAAATGCGTGCTTTACTTCTCTGGTTCTGTTTAGCACAACCCTAAACCTGACCCTCATATGGGCCAAGTGCCAATTTTTAAAATCATATCAGCTTCACTCTTTGTAATGCTATCTGATGGCTGACCTGGTACTAAGACAAAAATGAATTTGCTTTTTGTCCTAAACTCTAACAAAGCTGCCATCCCCAATCACGCCTCCATTTGTCAACAATTACTCACGCACTCTGCTCTGCAGCGGCACTTTTCTTCTACTTCCACCTGCTTTGAGCTCAGATTTCATTAAAACTAATCACATCTTTCAAAGCCGGATCAATCTGTTAAACAATGACAAATAGCTTTCCTTTCTGTTCGGCTGCTTTCATTAGTGAATGATGCAGCGTTCACCGTGCATCTCATATTCTGAGCTGTGCAGAAAACCTTTGTTCTACTCCCCAAGTGTTCATATCTGATAACAGCAGTATTCCTCACTTTCTTATCATCTTTTAGACCCATCTTGAAACTAAAAATTGGTCGCGCAAACTCAGAAGTCATTTCTGTGTCCAGTAAATGCTCAACGTGGTTAAATTCAGCGGCGCACCATCTGCATGCCTCACGTCTGCTGTATGCTCTTTGCTTTCTGTCACTTTTAATTGGTGGTGGCATCAAACATGGTTTAACTTCCAGATCTGATTTTAATCTCACTCTAATCTAGAAGCATGGACTCAAACTGATCCTAAATATTCCCACTCCAGTCCAATCCCTCTCTCAGAGCAACTACAACCCTCCCTACGGAGAGCAGTACAACCCTGCTGCAGTCACTTATGGCAACAACCAAGAAGGAGGCGAGGACGACCAGGAGGACGAGCAGGACCCCCACTACCATGGTTACCCCTCTCAATTGGCTTATAGTCAACCTGGTTACCATCCAAGCCACTCTGAGGACGTGGAAGTGAGGTCGCCAGGTGTGGCCAGGAGGTATTCACGTGATGTCATCATGGAGGGAGGCCCGAAGAAGGGAGGACTCACACTAAGTGCTTGAGCCCTTAAAGTCCCAACGCACACGAACACGTTCATCTCTGAATCTGAAACTGTGGTGGGAAGCCCCTCCCCTCACACCCAGTGCATCTCCAGTGGTTTTCCCACCAGATGAAATGATGTAAATATGTGGACTCTGTATATTTTAGTAAAAGGGAAGTCCGAAAAGTGCCTGATCTATGTTTCCTTCGTCCAGTGATCCTGAAAACCCCATTTCTAAACCTCCTACAGATGGTTTCAGGATTCAACTTTTATATTGCTCTTACTGTGTCATGGCATGTCTCATCAATCTTTAAAAAAAAAAAAACTCCATCTCATGTGTCTAACTGGACGTGTGCATCTGGTTTTCATTGTAACTAGCCTGACTTGAAATCCCTGAGAACAAGAAGACATTTGTACAGATTGTTTTTAGGCTGAATGATGACTGGCCCATATCCACGTTATTTCTCTACAGTATTGTAGTTTGCTTTTTAACTTGTGTTGTGAGACAACTGTTTTTTTTTTACATGAAACATCAAATGAGATGCATTAATTATCAAACTTTTTTAATTTTGAACTGAGTATTTGGAAGCTGTGATGCTCCACTCTTTTGCTGCACAACTTTGATTTAAGTGTTTAGTAAAAAACAGAACATTTCTTATCTTTCATGTTAGATCCTTTTTATGCAAATATGAACCCACTCACTGTGGAGGACACAAGCAAGCTGCTCGGTCTGATGTCTTGTTGAATTAAGAGATCAAAAAAATAAAAACCACCCTAATACTCTGCAGCCTGAAATGAACGGTACTAAATTTGAAGCATCAAGGTGGCAGCCTTGTTAATTTTCAGTTTTACTATAATCAATAAATCTGTGATGACGCTATAACGTTGTGCTTGTTCATTTTTGACATGTTCAAAATAAAACTTTGACACGAGCTTCAATAAAATGTTTATTAGTCTGTCTGCACAGCTTACAAGACCAATTTATACTTCGACAAACCAACAGAAATACAATGAGACGTCATGAGCAAAGTTAATGTGTGCCGTTGTTGTCGTAGCAACGCATTAATTGGTTTCTGTGTGAACGCTCCAAAAGGTGGGACAGACGCCGTTTTCATGGAGCACACTGGATCATTTTATGGTGGTAAAAATCAACGTTGAAACCACAGAATGTGATTTTCTCTGGAGGGATCTGGATGTGCAGGTGTGCAGTGGTTTCAGGCGTGGCCACGGCTAACGACAGGGAGTGAGTTTGAGCTGCTGCTGGCATACAAGTTGGGTTTTAGCACTCAGACTAGTCAGAAGATGATGCCAAATTTGGAATAAAACAAAAAACAAACAAAAAATGGTTGACTAAATTTACACAACAGGACACAGCATGATTTTTATTTACCATAAAATTAGGGGAAAAAAAATAAAAACACTGTTCGTTTCAGCACTTAAACAAGATTTAATGTGTTGAGAAAAACTGCTTTTGTTGCAAAGTGGATATTTAGCTTCATTTCATCCTGTAGTCTTCAGGTCTGTGGAGGAAAAACAAAACAAGAAAACAGTGTTAAGAACCAGGAAGTACATGATACAGTATGATAGATGGAAAAATGCAGCATCTTTCATAAAAACATCCCATTGTTGATGTTTCTCGTTAAATTTCACAGTGAAACTGTCGCAGACAGATTTTATCAGCTCTATTTGTTTTGACACATAAACAATAATCAGATATAATTTATCAAACGTTTGTTTGTCCTATAATTTTGTGTCTGAGTTTCTGTTCGTCTGGCATCTCATAAAGTCACTCGTCTAATCGTGTCTCACTTCTGCAGCACTTTTTCAGAGAATGAATATTAACCGTGTTTAATGAAGGGTAATGAATTGCCCTCGATCCCGACACCGTCGCCTCGAGAAACACCTGAAGAGTAAAATGAGCGAGGCAGAGCGGAGGGAATTTTTGCTGAGCTGAGTCTTAAATAAACGAGGATTAGTTTGACCTTGACAGCAACGCAACAAGCAGCTTGAACACAAGAGCTGCAGAACGATGAAACAGAACCAGAGAACAACGTGAAGAGGCTCAACCCCTGAATGAAAGCAGAAAATGATAAAAATAATGTAGTACTTTCATTATAAAGATATCAAACAAAACAAATATTCAGGCCAAATGTGGTTTGATTTGTATAAATGTGTTTTCATTAAATCAGGAAGGACACAAAAACAGATCAGAGCACATTTGTAATGGCAACGTACACAAGTCTCTAGTTGTCTTATAATTTATTTACGTTTTCCTTCCTTTATTAAAATCCTTTAAAGTGGATTTCATCAGTAGTTCAAGTTTTATGAAGGTACACCAGTTGGCTTCTTTGTGGTCTTTGGCTCTTCTCCACTCTTTAGTTCAGTACCTGAACATTTTTGAGGAATGTATGCATTTGCTCATCCATGAAGCACTGAGGCATCAAACGGTTCTGAAACTCAAAGGATGAACTGGTTTTGTGTTGCCCATAAGTCGCACATTTATGCCTAATTTACATACCCTGCGACTTATTTATGTTTTTGTTTTTTTTCCCCATATTTATAATCCAATTTTTGGCTGAGACTGTTTTCATTCATTCTGACTGAAAATATTGAACACTATCATTTTCAGCCACTAGATGGCAGCTGAGTAGTATGGCATGCTGTTGTGTCATGCAATAGGTAAACGTGGCTATTAATGACACAATCGGCTTGCCATGGCCTGCCACCTTCATCCATCTCCGGGATCATGCCTGGGGCAAAAGTCTAATCAGCTTCATTTTGCTGCACTGCCCCGGAAAAATGCAGCTAATTTGATCATTGACGCGCATTTATTAAGTAAAAGTTCAACTGAGACACATCTTTACTATAATGTCGAGCAAACAAATAATTGTTTTTAGGTTCTTGTTAAATTTCAAAGAAACGAGCAGCGTTCCTCCTTCCTGATTTCCTCCCTCTGCGCACTCCGGGAGCATCGAGGCAGCGAATACTTTTGAAATGCACCTGATTTGACTGTCAAAGTGCATCTGTTAAGGAAAAGTTAGACTGAAACACCTTTACTATAATTTTGAGCAAACAGACAATTGTTTTTAGGTGAATTCAGAAAAGTTCAAGACAAAAACAACTGGACTTTATTGGTAACAGAAGTTTCACTTCTCATCCGAGGAGCTTTGTCAATTCAAAGAGCAGTCATTCTGTTACAAATAAAGTCCAGTTGCTTTTGTCTTGAACTTTTTTTGAATTTACCATGTCCTGGATAACTGAGAATCTTCACCAGCGTATTGTTTTTAGGTGGTTATCTTGCTAAATTGTGAAGAAATGAACAGCGAGTCGTCCCTCTGCGCGTTCCTGCTTCCGCGAATCAGGTTTTGAAATGCAGCTGATTTGACCGTCAAAGTGCATTTATTAAGGAAAGTTAGACTGAGACGCACCTTTGCTATAATTTCGAGCAAACAAATGTTTTTAAGTGTTAATCTTGTTAAATTCTTGTTAAAAGTCCTCCCGTGCACGCTCCCGTGGCCGCCAATTGGCAGTCAATCCATTTTTGGCGCAACACCGGGTCGTCAGCGGTGACGTGTAACAAACGCGACGCGTCAGTGGTGACTCATAATAGATGTGACGTATATGGCAAAGCGACTTATAATTTATGTTTATTTCCACTTTATTAGACATATTTGGAGCGATGGGACTTATAAGGCGGTGCAACATGTACGGTGGACAATACGGTAGCTGGATGACGATCGGACCTCATGGATTGGCTCCACACCAGATCAGAGCAGGCAGCAGGAACAGAAGCAGGAGAGCAGGGTGGTGACTGCACCCAGCTACAGCCCAGCCCCGACTGTCTAAAGGAGGCACCCACTCCTGACACAGGAACATCTAAGCACCTGTCTTACCGTCTTCATCGCCGGCAGCCTTAGACGACGGTGAACGACATCCTCCCTCCCAAAGGGTGCTGCCACAACCACTGAAAAGCTCCCCTCAGTTTGTTGAGAGGCCTTTATTCAGTGTGCTGCTCCTCTCAGATTGAACACACCTGTCCCTGCTTGGTCTCTCTGCCTCCTCTGATCAGTCTTGTCCAAGCACATCACAGTATTTTAGCACCAACGTAGTGGATCTCAAAGTGCTACAAGCTGAAAACTTGGTCAACTGAAGGATGCTGCATCTCTCAGGACAGTGTCGGGGGTTCTTAAAGACGACCTGCAGACGCTCTTCCTCTGCAGCAGAGTGTGTGCTCATATTTTAATCACACACTGCAGAGTATCCTGTCTTGTTCAAATACTGGGCAGAAATTGGAGAAAAAGCAGCCAAAGTCTTAAAGACAAGCCTTCAGAAAACCTGAACTAGTGAACAAAATCACTATTTGTTTTAAAAGAAAATCTGACTTTTTAAAAGCAACCACAATTTGCTAATGTTTTTTGATCAAGACAAAATATTTCAATGTGCTAAAATAGAACAAAATCATTTAAAACTCAGCAACCATTTTATAAGCAGCTGTGTCACAACACTGCATTTGTCTCATGGAACATAGTCTAATAATTATAGTCATCTAATGTAATCTTTAGACGACTTACTGAAATGTTCAAATCAAACTGAATACAACAGAAGGTTTTCGACATCATGCTGAAAATATCTCAATTATTTTAACACGCAGTAAGCCAGCGAAGTACAATTCATTTTGCTTTTATTTAAAAATCAGAAGCAGAATTCTGAAAATGGAAGCTAGTTCAAGCAAAATGAGACGCAATGACTGCTAATGAGCCGGTACAGAGGCACGCCACAAAGAGCAAAATAAAGAAATATGGCTTTATGATTGTCACGAAACTCACTGAATAAAATGTACTAAACAAAATCATACCCAATCCACATTTACCGAAATACTGCAGCCAAAACCATCCTCTAAGCTAGTTCATGTCTGAAATATTGGTTTAATGAAAAGGAGAATCTGCCACCTGGGCACTGAGCAACTGTTTGTGAAAATGAAGAATGGTGACCTCGACCTGGATGAGCAGCTGTACGACGGACAAACTGACACATTGACAGATTAATGAATGCAAACGCTACTGCTGAGCAGGTGAATAAAGAATGCTCCCAGATAACTTGCCACAATGGTCTGCTGCAGCGTGTGTGTGTGTGTGTGTGTGTGTGTGTGTGTGTGTGTGTGTGCGTGCGTGCGTGTGTGCGTGCGTGTGTGCGTGTGGGAGGGGATGGAGAGAAATGCAGCAGTGTGACATTATCATGCCAGCAAACTGCAGGTCACAATGTCAGTCTAATCTTCAACCTGAAAATACTTCAGCCAGAAAAGCAATGAATATAATTATGCCGAGTAACAGATGTTCTTTTCTTATTTTCTCTCATGCACACACACATGCACACTGCAGTGAAACCTTGTATATCCAGTTGGGAGAGAGCAAGCTCTTCCCCATGTGTTTGTGGTATCTGATTTTAGCTTTTACCTTTGAAGCTGCATTTGTTTTGAGGATTTTCATAATAAAGCTGCTCTCAAAAGAACATTTACACTGGAAATAAACGCTCCTAAGTATCTAAAAGCCAACAACAGACCTATTGGTATGAATAAAGGGGTTATGTGTTCAACAGTAGTTTTTTTTTTCTGTGCATATCCTGTCACCAAGTCACTGCTTAGCTGATCATTAATCCTCACTTTGTGGTTACAATAAAAACAAAATACAAAATCTTAAATGGATCTGCTGAAGTTAAACCAGTCACAAAATGCAGTTGACGCGATTTCTGAAAGCAATTCTTCAAGACTCCTGTTGGTCGGAGAGATGAAACGATGTGTGTGTACACCTGGACTGAAGTTCTGAGTATGTCCAAACCCTCCACTCAACATTAGTAGCACTAAGAGTTTTCCACATCAACAACTGTGGGTTACCTCTAAGATCAATTTCACAAACTCACCAAATCTAAAATATACTGTCTGCTGTTGACTTTTACATCTATATCTATTCACGATCCAAAGATAACTCGTGTTATTACTTTTGCAGCTACACCTGTATATAACCCAAGCTTTGAAACTGAACTCTTCTGACTCATCATCAGACTCTGTGTTGGTGCTTTTCATAAAGTCTTTTGGAGGCAGTAAGTTGTCTGTAGTTCTACATACAGTTGAAACAGCCTGGGGAAGGCGTTGATCTCCTCCTGAGTGTACTCGTTGAGTTTTCGAGGAATCTCTCTGGGTTGAGGAAGCTCTTCCGTCAGGTTGGCTCGTATTTCATCTGGTATCTCCTGAACGGGGGGTGTAGGAGACAATGGAGATGTTTTAGGCCACAAAACAAAAAGGCAAATAGAAAAAGGTTATGATTTAAAAACCCTGAAGTAAATGACATATTCTACTCAAGGATGAAACAGTGTTAGGAGCTATCATTTGTCAGTGTTAAATCTTTTCGATATTTGGACGAGGCCCGGGTGAACAATGACCACCAACGCCAAACAAGGTGTCAGCAGAAATTGTGCTGTTAGCTGAAGACCACGAAGAGGTCAAGAGTCTAGGACTGAGAGTAGCAACTCTAAACGTAGGCACGACAGGCAACGGTAGAGCTGGCTGACACGATGCACACGACCGTGGTTACCATGGTTACCATGGTGCAAATAGGAAGAAAAGTGGAGCAGAGGTGGTCATGAAGGAGGAGTTGGCAAAGAATGTAGCAGAGGTGAAAAGAGTGTCAGATAGGGGGATGTGTCTGAAGTTAGAAGTAGAAGGCCTGATGCTGAATGTTGTCAGTGGTTATGTTCCACAGGTTGGATGTGACGTAGAGGAGAAAAATACATTCTGGAGGAATCCTAGATGAAGTGATAGGAGTATTTCCAGGGAGGAGAGAATTGTGATTGGAGGAAACTTAAAACAGGTATGATGGTGAAGGAAAAGAGGAGATGAAGAAGTGATAGGCAGGTTTGGTATCGAGGAAAGGCACCAGAAGGCCAGATGCTGGTGATGGCTGTAGTCAACACCTTTTTCCAAAAGAGAGAAATATGGTTTCATGCCCAGAAAGAAAACAACAAATGACATTTGCTTTAAGGATGCTGATGGAAAAGTAGAGAGAGGGTCATTGTGTCTTTGTGGGTTTAGAGAAAGCAATATGTTAAACAATAAATCAATTAATCACACGATAAATTAAAAATATCGACCTCATTTTCATTTACTGGCTTTATCATTTCTTCGTGTCTCTCTCTTTCTACTGAAGACACTAGATGACAAAAAGCTCAACTCCTGTGTTCTTCACTGACCCCTCCCTTTCTCTAAAATCTTTTTTAACCATCCAAAATCGCGTTTTTGGATCATTAAAAGCAGCTAAGCTGAGAAGCTAAGCTACGAGCTAAGCTAAGAGGCCAACCTCGGGAAAAAAACCTCAGTGTTGTCAAAGCTCCAAAATTCACGGTTGAAGCTCGTGCTTTCATCTAAATAGTTGTTTGTCTCTGCAAAAAGAAGCTGAGAACTTGTTTACTGATTTTTTTATTAAAAGCTTCGTGTGAAAAATGCTATGCTAAAGAGCTCAAACCACACCGAGCACCCGCCATTTTGAGAACCAAAGAGACAGCCCATGTCACGTCAAGGGGCCTCCCTCCCATTTTTGTTAAAGAGATGCTGCTTGCTCCCTCACTATCCATCCTTCCATACAAACAGTCTTATACTGCCACCCAGTGGTAAAAAAAGGCACTACACCCAAAAATTAACCAACATTTTTTCTTAAATTTCAAACAATATTATCATTTATCGCATTAATTTCTGAGACAATCGCCCAGAAAAATGTGTTCTTGTGACAGGCCTATCTAGTGATGATGCAAATGTGTATCAAGTTTCATTAAATTACCTTGAGCAGATCAGAAATTATGGCCCAGACAATCAAAGACTTTGAAGAACATTTGAACTTGACTTGTGACCTTGACCTTGTAGATGGGGTGAAGGATAGAGCACATGACACTCTGGTGATGATGCATATGTGTATGAAGTTTTGGTAAATTATTTTAAGCGGATCAGAAGTTGTGGGCTGGACAAAAGAAAGTTTACACATGTACAGACGTACAGAAATAAAACTATACTATAAAATGTCTGCCTTTGACGAGAATGAAAAACATCTTACAAAACAAAAACTAAAAATATTTAATCCAGGATTGTATACCTGAGTTATTGAGCATGGACTTTTTTGGTTTTGAACCAGTTTGACATGACTGTCGACGAGGAAGAGGGCCGGCAACAGAGGAGGGGGCGTGCCAAAGACACCATCTTAGCACCAACATAAATGGTTTGTTCCACTTTGGAATAAGCTGTCTCGGGGAAGAATGAGTTTTGTGTCGTGCGTTTCCTTGACTGATGAAGCCTTCTGGATCAACGGTGAAATGTTTCAGCACAAAAAAAAAAAAAAAAAGAAACTGTCCAGATGACCTGACTGAAAATTGTAGGATTATATACCTGGATTATTGAGCATGGACTTTTTTGGTTAAAAATATTTAAATTAAAAGGTGTTCAAAAACTGTGGCTTTTATTGTTATGAATGGTAGATTATTTGTCTGTCTTTGTAATCCAAATACCACACAATTGAGTTTTACAAGTCAGACAGTCTGCTCTGAAATAATGTTTAAACACATCATCTCAACATTAGGGCACTCGGTTTAGTAACACTTCATCTGACAGTAAATATCTGGGTCATGTTGTTGCCAACACACAATTGAAGTAATGTGAACCACCACCAGCGTGATGCACCCATTCACTTCACTGGAATATAGCAAGAATAAAAACACTTTAGGCAAAAAATAGTTAAGCACATTTTTCAAGCTGTCAGGTTTAAAAGTGAAAATGTTATTAGCTTGTTTGTAACTCATTTGTTGTTTACACAACCCTCTGTGGAAGTCTAGCTGCCACTCCACTAAGCTCACCAAAGTGGGACCAAGTCTCTGTTAGTTTCTGATTCTGGTCAAGTCGCACTGAGATGGTCTGCTTTGTGTTGAACAGCTTCAGAACATGCATGCATTCAGCTTCTAACATGCATGAAGAATGTTCCTGTAGTATGAAAGCACAGTGGAACAGCTCAAAGCGATGAACTTACATCCTCAGAAAAGATGTGTAATCGCTGCATCATTGAGCGTCTGTGCACGTTTTTGGGCAGCATGCCATAAACTGCCAGCTTCACGATCTGCAGAGAAAAAAATAATACAGTCAACTCCCTGATACTCAAAGAATGAAGTTTCTATAGCAACCTCAAACATATTATGTGTTTTTCTTATGTTTGCATGTAAGAAGGAACCAGGTTTTGTAATGTAAGAAGGCTTGCACAACGTGGGAGATTTTCTGGACTGAGGTTGGACAGAGAGGTTGGACAGGGAGGTTGGACAGGGAGGTTGGACAGAGAGGTTGGACAGAGAGGTTGGACAGAGAGGTTGGACAGGGAGGTTGGACAGGGAGGTTGGACAGAGAGGTTGGACAGAGGCAGTGCTGACAAACCTTCCTCTGTCCAATTCCTCTCTTCTCTCCACAGCTTGTTTGAACTAAACCAACATCAGGACTCATGTCTGAAACCTGCAGCAGACTTTAACACTTATTAAACCTGCAAATTCACAAAGTGTTAAAGAAGATGAAGAAGAGGAAGGTAGTTGCACCTGATGACACACCAGTGGAGGTATAGAAACATCTGGGAGAGATTATGGTGTACATAGAAAGTCTTACATCTTTGAATTCAGCTCAGAGGAAATGGGAACATAAACAAGAGTTGAATTTATATTTTTGTTCAGCGCGCACACATGCACACAGCCAGCCAATCTTAGGCTTACTGTAGATGCAGGCACAAACCAATAAGTAAGTTGGCCCATTGCTCATGTTTTACGTTATCCAGCTCACAAGGTTTCCAAAAAGATGGCGACGGCCATCTTGGATTTTGAAGTGTCATCCCAGTTTTCAACAGAAAAGTCACACACCAAAACTGAAATTGGTACTTCACCCATTTTTCTAAGTTATCCTTTTCACAACACAGATGGACATTCAAGGCAACCCAATTTTCCAAAGGAAACTTTCTTACGTCTAGATCAGGGGTGTCAAACTCACTTACAAAAGGGGGCCAAAATTAAAACATTTTCCAAACCAAGGGCCGGTTCAGATTCTACATTAACTCAAGTTAAATACCCAACATCTTTTCTTGGTTGCAGGTTCCTTAACAAGAGTTTGATTGGTCTCATTTAAAGTTCTCTGTTGCACTTTTCACATCATGATCAAAGATTACTGAAAAAAAATAAAGTGATAAAAGTATTTTACATTTAAAATAACATCTTGGGGGCCAGATAAGATGTCATCGAGGGCCACATTAGACCCCCGGGCCTTGAGTTTGACACATATGGTCTAGATGAAGCCACACACCAAAATGAAAGTTGGTATCTCACTTACTTTTGAAGTTTTCACTTTCTCAACATGCACGGACAGACAGAGGGTATTTTTAATTCCCCCTTTTTGCTCCATAATGGGAGTTATTTGAAAAATTAAATAAATGAATAAAATCAGGTTTCAAAAATATTCTGATGTAGTGGTTGGTTGCAGGTTCACTTTATGGTCTCTGTGTTGAGTTTGTGCACAAGTGGGTTTCCTCCCACAGACCTAAAACATGCATGTTAGTCCAAAAACATGCATGTTAGTCTGATTGGTAACTCTCAATTGTCTCTAGGTGTGAATGGTTGATTGTTTCTATAGAGTAACCTCTCACTGCAGGCAAAGCTGTGCAAATCTGATTTCTTCTGGACAGTCTGATCATGACAAATCAGACCCCCCCCCCCCCCCCCCCCCCCCCCCCACCCCGCCCCAGGTCTTTTTCACGTGGTACTCATTCGGAAACATAACGCAGAAAAAAAAAAAAAAAACTCATTCATCCCTGTAGCGATCAGGCTTCTCAACGAACAGTGATCTCTGTACGGTTATTTTAATGTCTTAATATCTTGTCTAGTATGGATGTTCTGTGTGACTGAAACAAACTGCCCCTCGGGGATAATAAAGATTCTTGAACTTGAACATTTTCGATGTTTTTTCAAAGCTGCAGTCTGAACAGTCTTGTCACATTTCATCCAACTGTTACAGTGAAGTAAGTGAATGCAGATTGATCCATGTATTGATAATATTGACCAACATTGTGCAGTTTAAATCTTGGAACAATGTACGTCTTCACCTACACAACAGAAGTTCAGTTGCTTCAACTTTTTTATTTGCCATGTCCTGGATGACTAAGAATCAACACCAACGTTGGTTTCCAACTTTGTATACGCTAGCCTGATGGCACCAGTGTTCGATTGCTTAAAGCGTGTCAACCCCCTTCCAGAAGTGCAATTCATGTTGGAGTAGTCAGTAAAAGGCTAGATCGAATGTAAATAGGGGAACAAACAAATGCAGCAGATAAACATTTAGTTGACCTTGATTGCACAACAATTTCAGAACTGACACACATAAGCTGACATGTGCAGCATCCAAATTTACAATCATAACCAGGCGTGATGGGTGTGACGTCATTGCATCAGGACCACGAGTGCTTACACTGGAGTCTGATGACGGTCACATTTAAATTATAATGTAAACAACTGCGTGCACGCACATATCTGAGCAAAAATGTGTGAATAAGCATTAGGACCTATAGTGTGAATAAAGTTTATGTGTCCCTGTGATGGATTTGTGACCCGTCCCCCGCCTCTTGAAAAGTAACTACTGGAGAGAGGCCGTGATCCGAAAAGGAAAAGTGGATAAAGAAAATGGATGGATAGAGATTTCACATATTCAAACATATATTACAAAAACACTGACTATGTTGCTTTCAACAGAAGACACAGAATTGTTAGAACTATAAATTTACAACACAACAGCAGTTAAAAAAACAAACAAACAAAAAAAAACAAGCAGCACAAATCCTCCTCCCTTTCGCTGCTCCCTTCAGATGTCACCACAGCAGATCATCTGCCTCCATCTCACGCTATCCGGCACCAGCCGTCTTCATATCCTCCTACACTACATCATAAAGCTTCCTCTCCTCCTCCCTGGCAGCTCAACACTCAACAACCTTTGATTAATATAGCCACTGTCCCTCCACTGCCTATGGCCAATCCATCTTAGCCTTGCTTTTCTGCCCAACTTGAGTTGTTCCTCTAATATACTCATTTCTAATCCTGTCCATTTGGATCATTACCAGTAAAAATCTTAACATGTTCATTTCCTAAACTCATCCATCTTCTACTCTGTGTAGTTTCACTGCTACACCCGTCACCCACTCATTCACACACAATTTCTGTCTTGCTTCTGACTCTTAGTTTTCTCTCCGCTGCATACCTCCACCTCTATGGGCTCTATTCCACCTGCTCCCTACTCTCACTACAGATCATAACCCATCTATCCCTCCTACTACACGGTAGCGGTAGTCTATGGCACACATGGAAATTATACTAGTATTTGTGTGAAGTATAAATCATAAATACAGAAAACCATGTGATAAGGGCTACACATACACTGACATTTCACAGATTTTAGAATTAATTTTGAACACATGAAAATGAAGAGATTAACGGCACAGCTTACAGCTTTTGGATCCTTGAGGTGAAGCTGAGCAGCAGTGACTTGTTTGAATCCACCCGGATATCTTTTGAGGACAGAAAAACTGTTAACTTCAAGAAAATACTAAATAATGCCAATGATGTAAGTGATAAAACATCTCATGGTATCTTTGTTTTCTTGAAACTAAAATAAATACAAAAGGATTTTTCTTTGTTTTTTGAAGACACCAACATACGAGACAAAGGGAATATAAAAAGGAATTATTAGTCAGGTAGTAGCAAACCGAACACTCACCCTGTGTGTGATGAATAGACTTTCTGCTCCCATTTGTTCCCAGAGAACGCGATGTGTCTGGAGTTTATAACTACAACGTGATCGCCACATTCACCTGTAATCACATTACAAACTTTTAATCACTTTTTACTTAAATAAAGCCACGCATCCAATTTAAGAATCACATATATGCCTTAATTGAAGAACAAATTAAACAAGTTTAAAAAGCATAAAAAATTGTGAAATAGTGATAAATAATTACTAATGTTGACTTTTTTTAAACAATATTACTGCTCTACACAAGACTACACGAAGTCATTGAAAGCTTCTAATTATATGAATTTGTATTTTATCAATTTAATTTTATCAATACAGTCACACACGTTCAGTAGAAGACAATGTAGAACATGTAACGCTGAGAACTGGGAATCAAACTACCAACTAACTCTCTGATGCGAAAGCCACCAAACTCTGCTGATCCACAGCTACTTTAGTAACTAGCTTACATTTACTCACAAACTTTTAGACAAGCCTTTGTGAGGAGTTTAAGGGAAGATTTGAGTCCACAAGTACGCATGTGCAAACTGATCTGCTTAGATTGCACTATAAGAATAAAAAAAGTCATTGATCTTATTTAGGGTCAATAAAAACCAGTCAAAACATTTGTTTCAAATGAAAAAAATAAAAATATTAACTTGCAAACGTTCAACTACCTAAAAACAAAAACAATATTTTTAGACAAACATTTTAGAATACCAGAAATTCAATAAATAATTGTACTTTGAGAAAAATATGTTTTAAGTTAGTCCTCTGCTGCCATCTTGTGGCAGTTTTGTTATTGCAGCAACTTAATACACGCTTGAGCAGAAACACGTAACAGGAAAAAACATTAGAGCTTATAGCATGTAAGAGCTGTGTAAAAGTTTAAAATGCTTTTATGGTGCATGTTGTATGTTTAACTCACTTAGGGCATGATAGATAGGCTTGTGTTTTCCCTGCAGTTTAGTGCTACAGATGCTTGCGATTTTGCCGGGCGGCTGCATTCTGGCGTCAATGAGGAACCAGGAGCGGGCGAAGGTCGCCCATTGCTGAGGGAAGAAAAAGTTTTTAAAAAACTGAATAACAGAACAAGGTTGGGACCATAAAATACAATAAAAACAAGACCCTGTAGGTGCTGTGAATAATAAAAATTATTATTATTTTTTAATTAATTAAAATAAAGCAGAAAAGGCTGCTTTCCCTTGTTGAACTTATCCCACATGACTAAAAATAAATACATAAATGAAGTGGAGAATAATAATATTTGCTGCAACAAAATGATGTGCAGTAATAAGCTTTGGTTAATGTTGTGAAAAAGCCAGAATTTAAAAAAAAATCTTACATTCTTATTTTCATTAGAATACAAAACATATTGTAATGCATTCTAATGACATAAAAATTGGCCCACTTAATAAAAGTAATGGGTCTATTATTATTTTTAGTCACATTTACTTTAGTCTCTGTGAAATTCTGGCAAAACTATTTTAATTAACCTTTTATTGTGGTTCATTGTTATAAATACCGAGTCAAACAGAAAAAGTGGAGGTGCTGTTTCTGTTATCAGCACATGTTTGCTGTGATGAGTTGTTTTGCTAATAAATAAATAAAATATCTTTAAGTAGACCTTAAAATAAACATCTTATAGTTCATAGGTTCAGTTCCCTGTTTTTTTTTTAAGTCATATTTAATTTAATTTGTATTTATTTGCTTACATTTTTTTTAAATTAAATCGAAAGGTGCTTTTTATAATTTAATATAAAATTTAAAGATTTAAAAAATATCTACGTGTACTGTATAATAAATGTCGCAGTAAACTTCCCAAATATTTATGCATTAGGTCATACTAGATAAAATTAAATAATGATTAACTTAATAAACGAGTTTAAAAAATAAAAGCGCATTACAAGAAGTTTAAATATTTTTCAACTTTAATGAACTATTAAACATAGTTTGTAAACAGTTTAAAAATGCTAAGAGCTTAAGAAGTCGCATTATTGACAATTGAAATTTGCGCAACAGTCAGCAAAATACAAAAAAATACAACTTTTAACTTACAAGTAGGAAAATAAAATAATAGAGTAAAAGTCTGCAACAAATTTTATTTTTATTTATGCTCTATGGGGCAGAACTAGTCTGTTACTTTAGCTAACCGCTAGCAGCCGTACGTAGCTTGTCCGTTCAAAACATGAAAGTACCTCTCGTTATATGAAACCTACAAAATGTTCAAAAGTGAATTCAAACAAAAGATGATGCTACAAAAACGTGGGTGCATTACCTGAGCAGATCTGGAAAAACTCGACATTTTAATGACGCTATGAAGACATCCTTAAAACACTTGACCCCGAACGTGTGATACGGTCCGTCTAGTAATTTCACTCGGTCGAACACAAATAGCCGCTTATTTGTTCCTAGAAAAACTAAAGGCTAACCTGCATTTCCCCACTACAATGTGACGTACAGAATTTTACATATATATGGTTGAAATTTTTTTTTGGTTTAAAGGAAAACGCAGTGAAGAGCTTTAAATATTTTTTTTTATGGCAAAATAAATCTAATAAACTCTCCGGGTCGTATTTTGACGTCGCGCATAAGTCGTTACCTCATTTCCTTTCCGCAACGTAAGAGAGTGAGCGCGCGGAATTTTGATAGAAAAAGTATCTTCGAGTCAGATTTATTTTACTTAAGCCTGCTTGTGTTAGTTTTAAAGCAGTGACAGAAAATGAGGACGCTAGAAGAGGTGCGGGCCACGCTGGAGATCGCCAAGCTAAAAGAAGAAGACTTACAGCCGACAGTCCGCTGTTTGTCGTTCGGCGAGAACGTCTCCTCTGCAGACTACTGCCTGATGGAGCTGGACGACACTCTGTGCAGACACGTCGAAGCTGGCGACACGTGAGCTGCTCATGTTGGGGACACATGTGCTTAATGACATGTGTGTGGGGAATGGTTTGCTGGTGGTTAGTTTGTCCTGTGGCTGTTTTCTTCAAAAGGTCTGGGTGTTAATCTGAGCTCTAAATGTCATTTACAGCAGAGGTTCTGGAACTTCTAGGGGCTGGAGACCCCTTACAGAGAAGAACATTTTCCAGGGACTTCATCATAAACTTCATGCTGATTGAAATTGTTTACTGTCATTTTAACCTCAAAATTGCCATGGGAGTTATTTGTTTATTTATTTATTTGGTTAGATATGTTTGTTTTACTGTAGAATTGGTCCCTACATGTGTTTATACACTTTTTTTTAAATGATATAACGCAGCTAAAAATTGACTAATTTATTTTGAGCCCCCCTAAGCTACTTCTCGCAGACCCCAGTTTGAGAACCTCTGATTTACAGTATGTTGATGTGAACCACATGTACAATACAAGAAACTGAATTAGGAAGGTTGTATCAGTTTATTTAATGGGAACGTTTCATAATTTTTTACAAGTTTTCACGTGTGTCAGGATTGTAGTAATCAATTTCAACTAAATTCAGTTTCAATTCAGCTTATAGCACCAAGTCACAACAAAAGTCTCAGAGCACTGAACAGAAACATTCATATATAAAAGTCATAATTTAACATGAATTATCTGAGGAGCAGACTGCTTTGAATTTAACTCCGTCACAGAACTCTCATCGTGAGCAAGCATGAAGGCAACTGTGGAAAGGAAAAACTCCCACATGAGGAAGAAACATTTAGCAGAACCAGGCTCACTCTGGACATTTGCTTAAGAGGAACAGATACACAATGATCACATGTTAAGATAGAAATAGTATAAAATGAAAACAATTCTATTTTAACAATTAATTTAAGAAAATGAGGTCAATTTGTCCTCTAGTAGTCTAAGCCTATAGCAGCATAACAAGCCAAACTTAATAATAGGATAATCAATAATATTCAGAAGTTCCATTCACAAGTTTAAGGATTACTTGGGGTGCAGGGGTGGGGGGGGGGGCACAAGGCAGCAGAGCACAGAGGTAAAAAATGACAGTGTTAGTTGTATTAAGCAGCTACACATCATATCGGCATGTTTCATTAGAACAGTATTTATGACGACACAATCCAATTTCTGTAATAATCTACAGCAACTATAGACTTTAGGGCTCCAGTCATCGCCCATGACAGCACTCCTCATATGGGAATGGTAATTTTATTTCATACAGGCCTACCTCCACAGCCTTTCAGCATGTCAAATGTGTTAAATGTGCTTTCAAAAAGTGGAAAGGCCAGATTGTAATTGATCTATATTAGATCTACTAAGATTTGTAGGTTTTTATGGCACAAATAAGATTGTAGTATCTGCACTTAAAATAAATGTATAAGGTGGTTGAGATAATTTAGTAAATATTAGTAACATAGCAGCCGGTTTGAAATATGTGCATGTAAGTGATAAATTATAACTTCTCTTAACTTTCCTCTTCCCCAGTCTTGTAATACGGGGGGATAAAGATGAGCGTGCAGTACTTTGCAGCAGAAACAAGACCTACGATCTAAAAGTAGCCAACACTTCTAACCTGCTGCTGTTCGTACCCAGATGCAACACAGCAGACAGGCTGACGAGCAGTCAGGACAGGCTCCATGTGCAGCACGCTCAGGTGCGGAAGTCAAACACACATTTACCTCTCTGCCGTCGATGTGTTGGGGATGATTGAACACATTGTACAAGCATAAACTGACTAGCTCCTCTCCATCATGTTTTTGTTAGATCTGGGGGTTTTGCAACAGCTACTGGGAACTGAGAAAACAGCGGCCAAAGCTGAAGAAGCTGAAGAAGCTTTTGATGGAAAATCCATATGAAGGCCCTCCATTAGGGGGACAAGTGGAAGTCACAGAGAACAGGGTGAAAATTTGTGTTGAAGACTTGTTGAGTTTATTTCTATAAAACATTCTTGTAGTTATATAAACATGTGGTTTGCTGTGTCGACAGTACACAATGCAGGATCTACTGGAGAGGATCCAGGCCAGTGAGGAGGAGATAAAGGACCACTTGGAGACCATCCATGCCTGTCAAATAGACGGTAACGTAATTTCTGCAGAGGCATATTCCAGCACTGGAGGGTTTGTTCTGTTTTTTACATGTAGTCATGCAGAGTATTCTTGTTTCCTTCAGGATTCTGGCGTGTGCTCGACTTTGACTATGAGATGAAGCTGCTCGGTCACGTCACTCAGCTGGTGGACTCTGAGTCGTGGTCCTTCAACAGGGTCCCCCTTCAAACCAGTCTGGAGGAGCTGGCTCCCCTGGAGCCAAAGTAAGTTCAGACCTTATACTTAAGTTCACCTCTAGAGATTTAAGAAATGTTTCACATAGTGGATTGTTTTCAGATGGATGGAAAAGGTTTATGAATAAACTGTCAGACCCATGACCACGTAAAATTAGGGCTGAAAAAATTTCTGGGGATTTTTCAAAGTGGAAAACTTTCCATGGGAATTAACAGGAACTTATGGTGATAAAAAGGAATGACTTGGAATTTAAATATAAATTTATATAATTGGTCCTGAACCGGGTTTTAAATATAGATATGGAAAATCTAGTTTAGCATAAACTTGACTAAAACAACCAGATTTTATAGCTATAAAAAATGATAAGCTGTCGCTTGGACGTGTAGGAACAGATGAAATAATGACACATAAAAAGTTTAGTTTTATGTTGATACAGTTCCCAAAAAAAGCCTAAATAAGAATTAAACAACATCTAAATGGTTTAGTTTGGTGTTGTGTGGATGAAGTTTGTCATTTTTGTGCATAAATGTAGTTACTGTCATTAAATTTAGTGAAACATGAGAAAACATTTGAAGTGATTATTTTGTTAAAAGTTGTTTTCATAATTTAAGAAGAGGATTATAACAACACAAACAACAGTAGAGTTGTGTATAATCCATTGTTCTCATAAATGTGTTGCTGACTCAGAACTGTCATCAGAAGTACCACTCCTCATCAGAGCAGTTGTTAAATCTAGTTTTTTCCATCTGAGGCAGCTGGCTAAAGTAAAGCCGATTCTTTCTCAGCCGCATTTCGAAACAGTAATAATCCACGCCTTAGTGACCACTCAGCTGGATTACTGTTACGCACTCTATACTGGAACCAGTGACTCGTGTATCTGTCAGCTTCAGAGGGTTCAGAACGCTGCTGCACGACTTTTAACTGGCACACGAAAGTTTGACCACATTTCTCCAGTTTTATCCTCCCTGCACTGGCTGCCTGTACTTTCCAGGATTCATTTTAAAATTATTTTATTTGCTTTTACAGCTCTTAATGGACTTGCCCCGCCCTATCTGTCCGAGTTGCTGCATCCATACACATCTCTCGATCCCTCAGGTCATGTGATCAGCTGCTCCTGAATGTGCCGAAAACAAAGCGTAAGCTCAGAGGAGACTGTGCTTTTGCTGTGGCAGCTCCTAAACTGTGGGACGACCTTCCCTTGGACATCAGACAGGCCTCTTCCCTGTCTGTTTTTAAATCACTTCTTAAAACCCATCTCTTCTCCCTGGTCTTTGACACTGTTATGTGCCTGAGGCACATTATTGTTATTATTTTTCCTTTGGACATTTTGGGTTTGGGGTTAACTAATAAACCTTTTAATTGTTTTAAGATTTGGCCCATTTTGTGTTGACTGCTCTCTGGCCGCCCTTGGATTTTTTTGGGCTTCGTTTACCACCTTGCTTTTTTCTCAGCTGGAAATGGTAAATTTTGTTAACTTTTGTCTATTTTTGTTGTAACTTAGGCCTGGTGGGACCAGTTGTCCTGTTTTCGCTTTTCTTTTACAATAGGTGTTTTTATTTAGGTTTTGTAGTCTTAGTCCGGTACCAGCAGTGGCTTTGACAGCCCTGTATAGGGTTGGCCCACTGCGGTACCTTTTGTTTTGTTTGACTTTTCATTCATTCAACCTTTATTTAGACAGATAAGTCACATTGAGCCTAGAAGACTCATTTACAAGTGAGATCTGTTTATACAGACAGAAAGCAGTGAAAAATGGACACATAGGAATTGGAGGCGAAAAAAATTCCTATCTGACTTTTTTTTTCCTACCTGAGATGAAAAAACTCTGATATTAAAAAAAAACCTCGCACAAACAAGCACATAGTGACTTTGACATTCTGCAGAGGGGGACAACGAGAACGATGAGCAATGTCCATAGATGCTCTCGAGGGCACTGTAAGAGTTCTGATAAGATAATCAGTCAATGTCCTCCAGTGAGATCCATAAACATTCTCGAGGTATGTCGAGGAATGGCCAAGAATAACATCTATGAGAATCCAAGAGTCCTGAAATGATGACACAAAGTTTATTCAGCTGGTTTCATCTGGTTATCAGTTGGAAATTCCTCAGGAAGGTTGTGGTGAGCGTCAGATCACATGTTCTCCAGGCAAATTTAGATAAGATGGCCTTCAAGTCCAGCCAAAGGAGCCACATTCAGATAAACACACAGTTGTTTTGGGATCAGTCAGAACTTAATGACATCTACCTTGAGTCTGTGTTGCTCCAAATGGTTCCGAAATGTCCAAATTACATGGCCACACCAATGGAACGTGACTGAGTAAAATCCCTGAGATCTGATCCATTCAGCCCAAAGCATTTGAGTCCGGGTACTCGAGACACGAACCAAGCCATCATAAAGGCAAGCAGCGTGATCGGGCCCAAATTTGCTGCCGACGACTTCCTTGATTGTCGATAAAACCAGCAACCAGCCGAATCCAAAAACAAGAACCAGTTATTGTAAATCCAATTAAATATGCGTCCTTAAAATCCACAAATGGCAGCAGAGATGGACACATTATCAAGTCTTCCAGTCGATGAGATATCCAGCTGCGTGCGTGACAACAGGGCAAATCGGCTCGCCTAAAGCCTCTTCTCTTCGAAGAAATGTTATCAATTGTGTTGAGGGGCCAACATATCAAAACAAAACAAGTCCATAATTATGGTTCGGAAGATATGCAAGAGAGGCTCTAAAGCAGTTTCTCAGACAGAGCAGCAAAGCAAAGCTTACTAGGTCCATCTTTCTATTAATACTTTGGGGTTTTTTTTGTGTCTTTCTGGTGGACACGGAAATTAGGAGTTCTTACTCATCTTCTTTTTTCCCCGCAGGAAGCCTGTTTTTTTAATAAATTGAAAGTTTGAATCTGTATGTTTTGAGTCTGTGTTCTCCTTAATATGTTATGTTATTGGTGGACGTAACATATTAATGGGGGCTCGTCCGGGACCTGAAATGTTGACTTTTAATTATTTCAATCATTCTTTATTGTCTGACTGTATGATTGATTTATTATGTGTACTGTACAGCACTTTGGTCCTGTGGGTGTTTAAATTGCTCTATAAATAAAGCTGGTATGGTATTAATGACGTCAGTGTGCAAAGTAAATAGTTAAATTTATTACTTTCATAAACTATAGGTCAAACACATTATACGACTTTGACAAAACAAAATGTTTACATTTCTGTTTGATATGGTAGTTTGTTTGCTGCCAATTTAGTTTATTTCCACCAGTTCCTATGAAAAGTTTGCAATTTGGAATACCTGTATTTCCCAAATTTTACAACTGAATGTTCATGGAAAATTTCCTGAAATGTACCTGAAATTTTCCACCCCTTTGCAACTCCAGAGTAGAGAAGTTCGACGAGTAGCGTCCACAATATTCTCTTTCTGACTCACAGAGAAATGGTCGAGCACTGTCTGGGATGCTACGGAAAACGCTTCACTGAAAACGGTAAAAAAAAATCTGATCGTAATATTATTGGACCGGTGGTAAAATGTTAGTTCTAAAACCAACCGATCCTCATCCCTCCACACAGACAAGGTGTTTTATGTGCTGCATGAGGATAAGGTCTGTCTGGCCCTGGCCCTGATGCTGCTGCAGAAGGCTGTCAAGTTCAACCTGAAGGAGTTTCAGGAAGTCTGGCAGCAGAGCGTCCCAGAGGGCATGAGTACAAGGCTGGACCAGCTAAAGGTAATTCTGGTTGGAAGACAGATTCCAGTTTAGGATGTACTTTTGTCAGGTGGTTGGTGTTTAGCCATTAAAAAAATCTAATAAGCTCCCTTGTACTACGGTAGTTTTAATCAAATCATTATTCCTACTTATTCTGCATGTTGTTGTATTTGAGGCAGTGGTTCAGCTTCCTGAACCTGACCTGGCTTTGTGAATCTTCCAGGGCGTCGCTCTGGTGGACCGCACCTCCCACCCAGAAACCATCAGTCTGCTGCAGGTGGAGGACCTCCCAGAGGATACGCTGGAGCGCTTCAACTACCTCTTCACACTCAGAGAGAAATGGACAGAAGAGGACATTACACCATACATACAGTTGGTGCTTTCTGTTTTATAACCAGATTCTGTTGCTCCGGTTTCCTCCCACAGACCAAAAACATGCACGATAGTGTTAATGTTTACGAAGCAATCACACTGTTGTGATCCATTTTTCTTCTGTTCGCTTTTCGGCCAGCTTCTCGTCCCGCAGTATTCAAGCTATTTCAACAAATCATATGTTCAGCTCTTTCAGGACAATCCTGTTATGACTTTTGGTATTGGTGCAACTTTAGCTTTTTTTTTTATTTAGCCTTTTCTGCCATTTTTTCCTCATAGAAAATTAACTGAGCTCATTTTACATCCTTCATATCTTTAGATCTGTTTACAACCTTTTACTGCTCCTTTCACATTTTGTTCTGGTTCTTCTTTCAGCTTCCTCCTGCAAATTAAAGCTTCTTTTTTCCACCTACTTTCATCTAATTTCAGCTGTTTTTTCAGCTTTTGTGCTCCATTCAGATCCTTTCTGCTAACTACAACATTTTTGTGCTTCTTCTAACACCTTTCTTCTAATTTCAGCTTATTTCTGCAAGTTTCAGCTTTTTCTGCTTTCAGCTACTATTTAGCTGTTTTATGCTAATTTTAGCTTTGTCGGCTAATTCCACATTTTTTGCACTCATTTTAACTTTTTTCAGCCTAATTAAGCAAAAATGTTCTCTCTCCACTTACTTCTGGTAACTTAAGCTTCTTTCTGTTTTTGTAGCTACTTTTCAGCTTTTTCTGTTGCTAATTTCAACTTTTTTCATATAATTTCCACTTCTTTGTGCTCATTTCTGCCTCTTTCAGCCTAATTGGGCAAACCTGTTCTTTCTGCTTTCTTCTGCTAATTTAAGCTTGTTCTATCTTTTCAGTTACATTTTTAGCATGTTTTAGCTAATTCAACTTTTCCCGCTTTCTTCTGCTTATTTCTGCCTTTTCAGCTACTTTTCAGCCATTTTGTTTTTGCTAATTTCACCTTTTTTAAGCTAATTTCCTAATTCTTGTGCTCATTTTTGCTAATTTAATCTAATTCAGCAAAAATGTGTTTTTTCTGCTTTCTTCTGCTAATTAAGGCTTATTCTTTCATTTCAGCTACAATTCAGAATTTTTTAAGCTAATTTCAGCTGTTTTCAACAAGATCTTCAGGAATAAGCACTCGCACTGCATTTTCGCATTAAATGCAATTTCTCTAGTGGTAACTATAAACTGTCCTTAGTTGTACAGTAAGTGAGAGAGTGAATGGTTGTTTGTCTCGTTTGTCTCTCCGTGTCCCTGTGATGGACTGGAGACCTGTCCAGGGTGCCCCCCACCTCTGATTTTAGGCTTTTCCCTTTTTCTCCTCATTCAGAGACCTTTGTGGAGAGAAACAGACAACTGGAGCCCTCCTGACCAAATATGCTCGATCGTCGACACAAAACGGAGTAAAGGTCTTCAACTCCAGAAGACCAGTGGCCACATGAGCACGTCAGCTGTTGAACTGGATTCACATTTGGAAATTTATTGCGTCATGTTTGTTTTTGTTCTATTTCACAATATTGAACTCGGATTACGTAAAATGTTATTTGTTAGCTTACACACATTCTCATAAAAATGTACCTGAAATAAAATTGTTAGATTCTTGGCAAAAAGGAAATTTGTTTTGTTTTTTCTGTATAAACGTGTAATAAAAGTTGTATGATAATTAAACATTTGTAAATTGCAACTGATCTTTATCTATTTGCCTTGAGCAAATTAACACCAACTGAAGGGAAATCAAGAGTTAGTTTTTCCCACAAGGTGGCAATCTACACAAGAAGTTCCCAAACTGTTCAGCTCCTGAGCCACAGAACCGCTGCAGAAACTGCTAAAGCTAAATTACAGCAAAACTTGGAATTTGAACCTTTTCTGTTTTCTTGATTCTTGACCAATAAAGGCAAGGCGAGCTCTATTTTTAACAAAATAATTAAAAACTTGTTCTGTGTTATTTGAAGAAAAACCTGACCTCAGATTTGTCTGTAAATTTATGGTAATTTAAAACTAGTAAATCAAAGTTTGTAAGCTTAAGCCACACAAATGTTAAAAACAATGAATTATTTATGTTTATATCAGTTCTGCAGCGAAAGGCATCTTGCAGAAGGCAGATGTAGTCCAGCTGTTCTGTGATGAACCTGAGCCCACTTGAGGATGGATTGCAGCATCAGTCCTGATTTTATGTCTCCAAAAGTTATCAGATTATTTTCAGGTTCTGAGTGGAAGTTTAAAGGTCAGTTTGGGGATGACGCTTTATAGGTGGTGTTGCAAACTAAATAATGAATTCTAGACAAAGAAATTCCCCCAATCAAGTTATATGTATCCATAAAAAATATTTTATCTGGTCACATTTTTCTGAGCAAGTCTGAATCAGTCTGACTTGACAATGATTCATCCCACTTCCTTTTTTTGAATTAAAGTTGATTTTAGTTCCCTCATTCTCCATCATCAAGCCTTTTTCCTGTTTTTCTTATTCTGCTTTCTGTCAGCAAATTATTAATGTCTCAGTTGAGATCATCTTTGTCTCATCTTTTCACTTCCAACAAATTCTGCGGTGACCAGAATTGAAATAATTACAGTGGAGGGGAGAAACTGACGGCTGAAAGTGTAGAACAATTAATGCTTTAATCACGCACTGGTATTTTAAGGTCACGTTTTACAGTAGTAGTACACTTTAAAATAAAGCCAAGACAAAATGTGGATAAAACAACATGAAACTTAAAACAGTAAACATTAAAAGTAGCATTTAGAAAATAATAAAATCTCAGGACAGTGTTTCCTTTTCTTACTGCATATTCTGTGTGAGGCTATTATTTGGCTTTCAATGATCATTTGTCTTTATTTAAATTTTTTATCCTGTACCTCACACACATATTTTTTCATCTGTTATACTACTACTTATACAGTACATGAAAAAATGTGCAGTTTTCCATGCTCAATTGTCAGTATGGTATAAAAACAAATAAAAAACAATCATAGTTTGGTCATATCAACCTTTTTATACTGGGTTTGGAGTCTCTAAGCCCTCTTTAATCCAGATATATTATGTGGCATTACTGAACTTTAAACAGCAGCCACTGTATTTTGTTTTAAAAAGTTAGATTTAAGTGTTGAGAACGACTTGAATCCATGAATCCACATGCTATCTTGGCAGCATGTCCTGCAGGTCAGCCACCACATATGCAACGACGGCCCATAATGCCGAGCAGAGGTCCATGTCTCGAGGGTTCTGAACCGTCATGGTGTCCCCCTCACTGTGGTGGAACCAAAAGTAACGACTGTCTGCCACGTGAAGGCTGGCCCCTGGACGAAACGTAACAAAGTCACACACAGTGATGATGAAATGCAAACTGGAACACAAAACAGAAGCTCAAAAAAATCCTGCATCCAAATATATTACTGTAAAAAGAAACATCATAAATGTTTTCAATTTATTCTAATATCAAGCTGGGCTATGGAGCTAAACAGCTGCCACATCTGGCCCAGTCTGAACAAATGGCACTGCTGCACTCCTCTCCGCAAATCTGCTCTTAGCACAACAAGAACCACAACATGTGATGGTAGGATGTAGGATGAAGCAGGATTGCTTTGACATGACTAGCTGGGATAGTTTTGAACATTCAGACCTGAAGTCATTTGCTACGATCCAACAATGTTCAGTCAGGTCATCTGGACGGTTTCTTTTGTCGCTGAGACGTTTCTTCCTTCAGCCAAAGGACTTCTTCAGTCTGAGGAGCCCACCAAACCAAATTGAATCCCACAAACAGCTCACTCCCAGAGTGGGATAAAACCAGTTTGCTGATGATAAGATGGCCTCCAGGGCCCGCCTTCTGCCCCGTCGACTCCCCCAAGGCAGACCATGCCAAAATGGTTCAAATCACCAAAGTTCATGCTCATTAATCCAGGTATAAATCTAACAATGTTCAGTCAGGTCTTGAGGCCATCTTATCACCAGCAAACTGTTTTTTTTTTCCACTGGAGGTGAGCTGTTTGTGGGATTCAGTTTGGTTTGATGGCTCCTCAGACTGAAGAAGTCCTTCGGATGAAGGACGAAACATCTCAGCAACAAAAGAAACCGTCCAGGTGACCTGACTGAACATTGTTGGATTTATACCTGGATTAATGATGAACTTTGGTGATTTGCTACAATGTTTAGACTCAATGATTATTTTTAAAAAAGTATTAAATGTACTACATATTTACAACCATGTACTTTGGTTTCTGGGGTTTTAATAGTATCTAATGGACTGATGTTTCTTCTTTTATAGAACGGTAAAGGTACCAGCGGTGGATCTACAGTAATAGTTTTCCTTTTCAAAGTAATGTGCATAGCAGAATATCATCAGAAGTATTACACTCATAGGAACAATATAGCTATAATTTATTTATTCACTGTCTTTAATACATATAGTACATATATACGTACATATAGTGCCAGTTTTAGGTGAAAAATAATTCTGCTTTCGCTGTTAAATTAAGCCCAGCTGATATTGTACCCTCATCTTTCTCCTGAATAACCCACAAACGTTCTGTCCCCTAGTCAGGAGAAAACAATCAGCAATGCGATCTGGTCTCAGTCCTATGAATCCCAGACAGGAAGGAATTTCTCTCAGACTGCTGCTAATTTAAAGCAGTTTTTGAACCCCGTGAAGATTTGTAGCGATCTGTTCCTGCATTTGAACAAGCGTGCTGAACTTCTGGATTATTTTGATATAAAAGTACCAAAGATCAAAATGCCTACAAAAACAACTTGTGTCCAAATGAACCTGCATTATTCTTTGCTAATTTATTTTATCAGACTGATTTTCTGGCATCCCTTTTGCACAGATATTGAGTAAATGAAGTGATTGCAGCATTGCAGAAGAAACTGAGCAAGATGCCCTCTGAACCTCCGTTTCTTCACAGCAGCTGTTCGATGCTTCATGAAGACGACTGGCAGTCTGTTGCATTTGTTTTACTTAAAGACTGGATTAATGGTTTTACGAATAAAAATCAATTCTATAAAAGCGGCAGAAGATGAATATGTTTGAACATTTGTTCTTTTTTTTTCTGACTTTATATACTTTTTCAGTGTTTCAGTTCTTTGTTCCACTTACCAGAAATGTCTTTGACCACTTCCCTTTACTGTTTTATAGTCTGTTCATATTTCATATTTGTTTTATACAAAGCACTTTTAAGAGATGAGATCACTAAAACTATTAAAAAAAACAATAAAAACTTTATGGTTGTATCTAGAATATGTTCAACTTTAACATCTATTTCAAAGCTTTGTATTTCCATCTTGTGGTGTTAATATATGGAGCTGCTGGTGGTTGCACACAGACAAGTGGGGTCTACAGACCTGGTACTCCAGCCTGCATCCACAGTGAGATGTCTGTCCCCTCCCCATTCATCTCCAGTTTGGTCGTATTAATGGGGGCTAAAAGTTTGACCACTTCTTCCATCACCTGTAGATATAAACATAGAAATGTGCTCTTAAATCAACATAAGCTTATTGTTTGTTTAGAACAAAAAAAAAATCTAAATTTGTCACACAAAGACAAAATTTCAAGATATATAATCAAGTATTTAAAGTGTACAGCAAATACTGGGCTGTAAGTTTGTTAAAAGAAACAGCATTTATTTCTGTGGCAGCCAAATTTTCAATTTAAATGACCCCAAAAATGATTCACTTGTAGATTACTTTCTAAAAGTTTCATCAAAACTAAACTGCATGACTACATCTCTTGGGGTTGGTGAGATATTTTGCTAATAGACAAAAAGAGTTGGCTTCAACAGTTAAGCCTAAATCTAACAAAGTTAAGTCAACTCCTCTGGACAGATTTTTTTTTTTAATTGTTGAAACGTTTCATCTTTTGTCCAAAGGACTTGGTCAGTCTGAGGAGCTGCATGGCACCTTCTCATAGTGGATCAACCAGTTTGTTGTTGACATCCAGAACTGGCTGTTCACATGATATAGATAGGAGGACCATCAGCCTGACAACCGATCGTTAGTGCCCTGATGGCTGCTTGCTATTCACAGAGGGTTGAGTGATACTAGCAATAACAGCATTGTAAGAGGGGGACAATAGGACACAGACGCCTCCGCCCTGTTTAATGATGGATGGGTTCTTTTCACAAAGATGGCCTCCTTTACTCCTCTCTCAAACCAAAGTTCCTCTCTGTCCAGGATGTGAACATCTTCATCCCTGAAAGAGTGACCGCTGGCCTGGAGATGAGTGTAGACCGCAGAGTCCTGGCCTGATGATGTTAAGCCATCCATCCATCCATCCATCCATTATCTTTACCCGTTTATTCCATTTTGGGTCACGGGGGTCGCTGGTGCCCATGTCCAGCAATCACTGTGCGAAGGGCGGGGTACACCCTGGACGGGTCGCAAGTCCATCACAGGGCCACGTAGAGACAAATGAAACAAACAAACATTCAGTCTCTCACTCACACCTAGGGACAATTTAGAGTCACCAATCAGCCTAACATGCATGTTTTTGGTCTGTGGGAGGAAACCGGAGTACCCGGAGAAAACCCACGCATGCACGGAGAGAACATGCAAACTCTACCCAGAAACGCCCCTGGACCGGGGTTTGAACCAGGGACCTGCTCGCTGAGAGGCAGCAGCTCTACCAGTTGCGCCACCGTGCTGCATGATGTTAAGCCTAAAGTTTAAATTAATTTCAGTTTATTTATGTAGCACCAAGTCACAACAGAAGTCATCTCCGGGCACTGCACAGAAACATGCATACGTAAGTGACTTTAACTTTAGTTTATGAAAAGTTCTTGCACAATGAGTAGCATAAAGTGTGTGCTGTGAATGCCTCTCAGCTAAAACTTCAGCAAATGTTGGCACAATATTTGTAAAATGAGATGAAATACTGTAATTTTTTTTTTTACTATCATTATTATTATTATTATTTTCTTTGGGGTTTTTAGGTTCTTTTTTGGCAGCATGGTGGCGCAACTGGTAGAGCTGCTGCCTCTCAGCGAGCAGGTCCTTGGTTCAAACCCCGGTCCAGGGGCCTTCTGGGTGGAGTTTGCATGTTCTCTCCGTGCATGCGTGAGTTTTCTCCGGGTACTCCGGTTTCCTCCCACAGTCCAAAAACATGCATGTTAGGCTGATTGGTAATTCTAAAATGTCCCTAGGTGTGAGTGAGAGAGTGAATGGTTGTTTGTCTCTATGTGTCCCTGTGATGGACTGGAGACCCGTCCAGGGTGTACCCCGCCCCTCGCACAGTGATTGCTGGACATGGGCACCAGCGACCCCGTGACCCAAAATGGAATAAGCGGGCAAAGAAAATGGATGGATGGAGGTTCTTTTTTGGGTTATTAAGTTCAGTTGGCAGCTGCTGCCTCTCAGCGAGCAGGTCCTTGGTTCAAACCCCGGTCCAGGGGCCTTTCTGGGTGGAGTTTGCATGTTCTCTCCGTGCATGCGTGGGTTTTCTCCGGGTACTCCAGTTTCCTCCCACAGTCCAAAAACATGCATGTTAGGCTGATTGGTAACTCTAAATTGTCCCTAGGTGTGAGTGAGAGAGTGAATGGTTGTTTGTCTCGTTTGTCTCTATGTGGCCCTGTGATGGACTTGCGACCCATCCAGGGTGTACCCCGCCCCTCGCACAGTGATTGCTGGACATGGGCACCAGCGACCCCCGTGACCCAAAATGGAATAAGCGGGTAAAGAAAATGGATGGATGGATGAAGTTCAGTTGGCTTGTTGCCATCTTGAATTGGGTTTGCTTTCAAACGTAATCAGTCTTAGATGTGCATCTGACGATTATTTTCTAAAAGTTTCAATAAAATCCATCTGGTGGTTCATAAGGTCTTTTCTAAAAGACAAACACACACACACATGCACACACGCACACACACACACTCATGCAATAACACCATCGTCCACCTTCACCTTTTGGCAGCAGGTGATTTTTTATTTTTTTTAGCAAGTAAAAGCTGCACGAAGCCAAAATAACCTCAAAGTTTTAACAGTGGAGAATTGATTTTAGTCTATTTGCCCTGCAAACCACTTGTTCAGAGGTCAGGTTATGACCAGAGGTAGTTAAACATTTCTTAATCAAAGAAGCAACGCTTCAAACATTGAAGCAACATTTTATGATCGCAACAGGTTTCTAACACTCATCAGTTTATAGAGTTAACATCATCAACGTGTGTAAATAACAACTCTGTTTAGATTTGATTTTTTCTACCTTTTGTGCTGCACGACTGCCAGTAAACTGCAGACCAACTGGGGCGAATGTCCCCATGTCAGACTCCATGACGAGGTCAAAGTTGGACACGTTCACCTGAGTGGGCAAAGTAAAAAAAAAAAAGAAAGTATGAGACTCAGAAAAGCAACAAAAGTAAATATAATTTACAGTAAAATCTCAGGTTTGTTGGAATGTTTATAATTCATACATGAATATATTCATTTCATAGTCTCAGAAAGTTTGCACATTAAAACAGCCACAAGGAGTCACTAAAGAAGCCACCAATAAAATTCTACTCATGTAAAAAATAAATCTTATCAGCACACTTGGTAGTTAGGGTAAGTGGTAGCAAATGTAGTAATCTGCTCCCACAAAAATGCAATAAATGTATATTTCTAGGTTTAAGAATGTCGTTTATTATGGGTGTGAGTCTAATGAGCTCTGAAAAAAGCTGCTGTAGGACTTTAGATGGAGCCTTGACACAGAGACAGTCTGGGAGGAAGCCAAGGTCTTTCCAGTTTGCTGAGACCACATTTCCACATTCCCACAGTGTGCTTTCACAATGCTCAACCCTTCCTGGTTCATATGTGGAGAAAACATGTTGCCTTTACAGCTCCTGCAGTGTGTTTTGTAAGCAGCAGAACCTTGTGTAGATTAAAGTACTGCTGTGCTCCGACTCCCCCCTGCTCCTCAGCTGTCCACAGCACCGTCCGCAAAGTTCTTCTTGGGCGCAAACCTGTGGAAAGACACAGATATCAGTGAGCACAGCTTCAATATATTATTATAAATATATAAAAACCTGCTTTTCCTGAGCACACAGCTCATCCCGAACTGTGACATGTTTCCATCCGTGAAGCTGTAGTTGTTGAATAACTCGCAGTTCTGTTTATTTAGTCTGTTGGTCGACAGATGCTGTTCGCAGTTCGAGGAATTGTTTTGTAATTTAAGTTTGCAAATAAATATGCTGCGTGTTCTGCCTCTTATGGCGTTCAGTCAAAGTTGCCTGGATTTCTTGGATATCCACAAACTACACGTGTATTTTCTTGTTACTGTAAATTGGCTGTATTCATTTTGATACATTAGAAAAAACTAAACTGTTATGTTCACCCAAATTCACGATTAGGCTTCTATGATGGCAGTGCGTAATTATTAACTATTTTATAAACTATGATTTCTGTCAGGCAGCACGGTGGCGCAACTGGTAGAGCTGCTGCCTCTCAGCGAGCAGGTCCCTGGTTCAAATCCTGGTCCGGGGGCCTTTCTAGGTGGAGTTTGCATGTTCTCACTGTGCATGTGTGGGTTTTCTCCGGGTGCTCCGGTTTCCTCCCACAGACCAAAAACATGCATGTTAGGCTGATTGGTAACTCTAAATTGTCCCTAGGTGTGAGTGAGAGAGTGAATGGTTGTTTGTCTCGTTTGTCTCTATGTGTCCCTGTGATGGACTGGAGACCCGTCCAGGGTGTCCCCCGCCCCTCGCACAGTGATTGCTGGACATGGGTGCCAGCAACCCCCGTGACCCAAAATGGAAGAAGCGGGTAAAAGATAATGGATGGATGATTTCTGTCAATTATTTTAATTTTTGCATCAACTGTAGATTTTAGTTTTTTTAGTAGTTTAAAGCAGCTGATTGTAAAATTAGGCCATTTATTCAACTTGAAGCTGAGCAAGGATCGAGAGTGACATCAGCATACACAGGAAACATGAAATTTGTGTCGAAATAGTTATATAAAGTTAAACAAGATGAAAACTGTTTCATTACTTGTAAAGATTTACTGATGTAAGGCACTTTTTCATTTCTTTACATGCTTCCACATGCATGCACAGGTGGAGGTTTTTTCTTTAATTTACCATGCAGTGTATACAGCATGTCTATCTGTGACTTACCTAGGTCCTTGATAAGAGACAGGGCCTCCCAGGAAATCATGGCTCCGCCTCCATCATCCATGGCACCCTGGCCCACATCCCAGCTGTCCAAATGGCCGCTCAACAAGACAACCTGACGAAGTTTACACGTACAGAGAAAGTGTGTGAACATCGAGAAGAGAGACTACAACATTGTGTGTGTGTGTGTGTGTGTGTGTGGGGGGGGGGGCAGGAAGTCTTACAGCTAACACTATCAAAAACTATGCCTGTGATTTATTGACAAAATATTATTGGTCTGCCTGTTAACCAAGAAATAAAAAAGTAGTTATAGTCATTATTGTCCCAAACAGCACCAGTACCTAGATCCCGACTCAAATGTCTAAACCAGTGGCTCTCAAACTGGGATCCCCAGACCCCCAGGAGTCCGTGAGCCAGTGCTTGAGGGTCCAAAAAAAATAAATAAATAAATAAATAAATAAATAAATATATATATATAAATATATATATATTTTTTTATTTTTTTTTTTTTTTTTTAACAAGCACGTAGATGTTCAATAACCAGTTAAAATACACCAAAATGCAGGAAATCACATCTACTTTTTTCAAAATTTTCTGGGGGAGGATCCCCAGACTCCCTCCCCCAACCATCCACCCACCCCCAGCCCACCCGCTATTTGCATTACAGCATCGATCAGTTTACAAATTAAGCCCTGTTCCTTAGTATGACTACTGTAATTTCTGGACTAGTGAGCGCACCCAAATATTTACACAAAATCTAAACGATAATAATAATTTTGTACATATATAGGCTGCACTTGTGTATAAGCCTCGGGTGTCCATGTTGTTGCGTGAGACATTTACTCAGAAAGATTTTTTAAACTTTTCATTAAATACATACACAAATACGTACAGTATTATTTTTTTTTTCTGAACAGTGCTCGTAACATGTCTGGTTAAAAAAAATGCAGTAGCCTACCAGGGAGTCATTGATCGCTGTCTTCATCTTCCTCCTGCAGAGGATTTTTTTTAACTGTCATCCAAGTCTTATTGAGTCACGAGGACCCCCCCCCCCCCCCCAGGAGAGATGTGTATTGGGCAGCTATGTGAGCGCCGGGGTGTGATGAGGCTAAATGTTTTGGTGGCAGGAAGCTCGTTAGCCCGTCAAAAAACTAAAATATATCAATTAGCCGCAGCATTGTATAAGCCGCGGGGTTCAAAGCGTGTGGAAAAAGTAGCGACTTATAGACCAGAAATTATTTCTGTTATGAATTTTCTGTAATAATTTGAAGAAGTGGCGATACATTTATGTTCATTATGTGAATAGGTAAAGTTTTAAAGTGTTTTTTGATACTGTTAATTTTCTCAAAAATTGGCCAAGTGGCCATGGATGCAGATATGGAGGTAGAGGGAGTGAGGACAGATGTTGCAGAAGACAAAGTATGATGGAGGATGACTCTCTGTGGCGATCCCTGAAGAGGGAACGAACAGCCGAACGAAGATAATTGCTTGATCTTTTCTTTTTATCCAGTGTCCAAGAGTTTCAAAAACTCCCAAATTATTAGGTACCAATCTTTTGTAAAAAAAAAAAGGTACAAATAAAAGTTTGTTTCACTTAATTTAGTCTAGACCAGATGCAAAATAAAAGGCAAACCTGAACTAACTACCATCTACTGATGTAAAAATATAAAATAAACTTGATATAAACACTCACATGCTTCTCAGCTAGCTGAGTGATGGTGTGCTATTTTTACACAGATGGAACGTGGATGATTTTGCATATTTTATGGTGTTTAAATGATACAAGTGTTGCGAAATGCACAAATTACGACTCCTTTTTGATTTTTCATATTTCCACCTCTTGCACTTCTTTGCTGCTGTAGCTCACCACACACCTAAAGCTTCTCTGTGCTCCTAATGTGAAACAACAAGCAGAACTTCAAGCTTCCATGTTTCGTCTGAATCGGTCATTCTTACTCTGCCTTGGTGCAGAATCGCTTGAGATAATATCTTCCACCGCTCCGTTTCTGTTGTGGTAGTTAGCAAGAAGCTATTTAAAAAACATGTGCATACTTTTTCCAGATGAGAGTGGTGATTGCCTGTGACTAATGTATTCTTTGTATAACTGCATGCACTGGACCCTGACAGTTTGGTATGGACACATGTACAGCTACACACAGCCCGAAGTACACACCACAGCCACTGTCTTCAGAAAGATATGTAATCTGATATATACTTAAAGTACACAGTATTCTCCGTCTACTGTACAGTGTCCCCTCTTTCTTTCTAAAATGACTTATTCTTATTATTCTTTAGTCAGACTCAGTCTGTTCTATTTATTGGAAACTGGAGGCCAGCCATGGATTCTTTGTGTTAAATTATCCTTCAAGCAAGCCACTAAAATCTGTTTTATAGTGTACACTCAGAAAGAAAATGATTACCTTACACTTATTTCTGCGAGAAGATACTACAAAGACCTTTTACACACAGAGAAAGCTGTTCAAGTGTACTGAGTATCCTCTTTGAACTTCTCGTTTCAAAAGTGGTGAGTGTGGAAAATAAGTAAAGACACAGCAATTTCAGAAGACTCTGACGGACAGTCTAACTCTGGAAATGACTCACTAAACCTCAAATAGACATTTGTCTTTGAGCAACACACACATCAAAGCCACAAATGCTTCTACTGCAAGTTGGTGCATGCATCATGTCCAAAAATGATGTCAACCCTGTGATGTTTCAGTTCCTTTTTCTACAATGATGGGCCAAGCACTGGTTTCCAGATCAGGAATGGTAACCGCTTACATCAGCTGTAGTCCTGGGCTTTAAGTTTATGATGGTCTGAGTTAGCTCATTAGAGACTATCTAACAAAGTTAAGTCAGGTCTAAACTGACCTATTCTGAATGTGAACTGAAAAGAGAGATTTGATGGTTAACACAGACAAACAAGTGGATGAGTGGGTGCTACCTGCTCAGGGTGCTGCCAGCCTCTTATCTCAGCTACCGTATTAAAAGAGTCAACATTTGGGAAGGTCTTGGCGTCCATTTTGAGTCTGACCACGATCTTCTGTTTCCGTTGGGCCATGCGCCACATCATCTCTGCATCCTCCATGGTGATGCAGGCTGTCGGAATGCGCTTGACTCCATCTTGGTAGTCCTGCCAACCTGTGTGGGGGCTGGACATAGAAAGGCGAGGACAGGAGATTTGTGTTGACTGAAATGATGGAAAAATTGGGGATAAAGTCCAGCAGGCTTTTGAAAGTGGTGAAAAGTTTAAAGTTTGCTGATGACTCTGTCATCCTGTCCCTTCTCAGCAGTGATGACCCAGACTCTGGGCATGTGGTCGGGGACTTCACTGAATGGTGCGTCTTCCTTTTTAAAGGTAAATGTTTCGAGATGGTCGTTGATTGAATGACAAAAGACAATTCAGTTGCAGCTCCTGTGGTCTTTAACGGTGAAGCTGTCAAGGTGGTGCATCAATATAAATATCTGGGAACTGCTCTCGGTGACAAACTGACCTTTGACCCCCCATGTGAACGCACTTTTTAAGAAGACCCACCAGAGAAAGTGTTTTTATCGGAAGCTCTGTGGTTTTAATGTTGATGTTACTTTTATGAGAATGTTTTATTGAGTCTCTTTTAACTTTCACCTTCATCTGTTGGTTTGGACTTTAACGTGTAAGAACAGGAACAAACTCTTGAGGATTGTCAGGATGTGCAGCAGAACTGCTGGCATAGCCCTACAGAACCTCACTGACCTACACAAGGTGAGGTCAGGGAACAAGGCCAGGCTGATTCTGGCAGATCCTGATCACCACTCCATGGTGAGTTCAGGTTGCCTCCATCTGGATGCAGGCCTCTGCTGCCCAGATGTAGAACAAAAAGATTGAAAAATTAATTCACCCCTGTAGCGATCAGGCTTCTCAACAAACTGTGATGATTTCATGTATTGTTATTTTGGGGCGGCTGTGGATGAGTAGTTAGAGCAGTCGTCCTCCAGCACAAGAGTTGGGGGTTCCATTGGTGTATGAATGTGATAGAACACTGATTATTTTTGTAGAGCTCTAGTAGAGTGCTGTATGAATGGGTAAATGAGGGCACAGATTGTAATGTAAAGAGCTTTGAGTATCTTGATCAGATAGAAAGGTGCTATATAAGTACAGTCCATTTACTATTTAGTTTAGCATCTCAATGTCTTGTCTAGTATGGATGTTTTATGTGCCTACTGACTGTGAAACAAATTGCCCCTTGGGGATAATAAAGATTATTGAACTTGAAAGGATAAGGAGTCAAACAAACTTAACCTGTTAATCGAGAACGGAGTGACAGATCTAATGAGTGTGGCCACAGCTCCCAGTTTGACTGCTTCTGAAGCACCATAAGCACGGTAAGCCACAGTCTCGCCGTAGCCGACAAAAGGCTGGTTAAAAACCACAATCTTCCCGGTGGCCTCACTGGCTCTACGCTTCAGCTCATCAAAAGACTGAACCACCAGAACCTCTGCCTCAATACCTGAGAAGATCAAAAAGAAACAATGAGCATTCAAAGGGACAGGATGACACATTTAAAATCTGTTTATGTTGTTTTACCCTCAGGAGGTGTTCCTACACTGCTGCCCAGTCCAAGTATAGCCAGGCTTTTGTTCCGGGGCGCAATCATCTCTGCACTCTCCTTACCTCTTACCCAGTGGGGAATTTTTACTGGTTCTGAGCAGGAAATCGCACGAGAGAACACAAAAACCGAACGCCAAGAATCAAGATCATATAAAAAAAAAAAAAGTCTATACAATTTTTACTGACTTACGACAACCTTCAAGAACACTCACCCAGATGTACATCCAGGCTGTCCTTTCTCATTGCATTGAACATGTATTTAATAGCCATATCCAAGTTCTGGGAGCCACTGACCCGGCTCCCTATAGTGTCTGTAAAGTCAGCCAGCCGGCTGTAAGAGCGGTTCTGGGCAGCTCCAAACACAGCCAGCTCAATGATACTTTTTGCCACATCAGCATATTCTGCTACCTCCTCTGCTATGTTGGAAGCTGGAATTAAAAACAAAAGTTTAATTTTATTCCAAGTTTCACATATTTTCACCCAAATAAGATTTGCAGATGACACTTTGCTGATCCACGCTAATTTAAAATGTGACTCGTTGATTAAAGATGACAATGTTTAACTACTAATGAATAGAAACATATATTTTTATTGATGTGAGTGGCCAGATAAAAGAGATTACTATTTTATATTAAAAAAATTACATTCACTTGGTCTTGGAGGTTGTTGTTGATGAAAATCTGAGTTGTCACGCATGAACTAGGTTAGCAGAAGAATTTTTTTAATCGTTGTTACGCAGATGACATGCAGCTCTACATCAAAACTGGTTCTGCAGGTTCATCACTCTCCTCTCTCACCACCTGTCTTGAGGAGGTAAAAGTCTGGATGAATGCCAACTTTCTCCAATTAAACACGTCAAAAACAGAAACTATTTTGGTTGGTACCCCACATCAGACTCACTCAACATCTATCTCTACCATAATCTTCTCTGGGAAAAACATTCCTTTTCTTACTTTGGCGTATTTCTTAGTTCATATCTTAGATCTTATTACTGTTTTTCTTTACAATTTGTACTTTTGTTGGATGTAACTGGGACCCTGTGTACACAATTTCGTTCCACCACGTGTACCACATGTGGTGAGAGTGACAGTAAAGACACCTTGACCTTTTCTGATACAGTGATGTAAGATTTGATACTCATCTGTCGCCTTCATGCTTGCTCAAGATGAGAGTCTGTGATGGAGTTAAACTCAAAGCAGT